AATTCTGGTTAGTGATGTGCAAAAAGTTATTCTTAATATTACTTGAATTAAGCCAAAAAGTAGCTAAAAATAAAAATTTCGTTAACAGAAAACTTTTTTTTTGCATGTACAAATAAATGTGATTCTTTTATATATAAATTAATGTTGGTAATGGAGCTTGAGAAAAAAATCAGTTTCTTTCTATTCTATTTACAACCGTATTTAAATCTGTGTATTGGTCAAGTTAAAAATATATAAAAACTTTGGCATATAAATTTGCTGAATGGTCACACACGAGCAGTGAACGCCTGAGTGAAGAAATGAAGTACGTTAGAATAAAGAAGAATCATTTTTTGAACAAAACAGTTGTCTAGACAAAAATAAAGATTAATAGAGGAATATTTAAAAATTAAATAAGACAGACAATCAACCTAAACATTACTTACAGTAATAAAAAACAAATTTTATAAACACTAATATGAACAAAGATATACAACAAATATATAACCAAACAAAAAAATTGATTACAAAATAAAAAGTATGCATACTACAATGTAAGGCCTTGGAATGGAAAAAAAATTAATGCTAATGTTTAAACATAATTTGTGTAGTGATTAAGTAGTAAACATCTCAGAGTCGTGTCTATTATTACTGGCGTTTCAATGAGAATCAGCACTAATAACTAGTTTATCCTGTCAGACCAAATGTCATCACCACTTATGCTTTACCCTGCAACTTATGCCAATTCCATACTACAGTAAAAAAGGACTCACTACAAATAGCCAAAACCAAACCATCCCCAAATTTGTAAAGCACCAATATTTTTTTGATGATATCATATTAAAAGTGTAGATCTATTATACAACATAAATAAAAATAGCTAAATAAAACACTTACCATACCACCAAAATAAAAAAAATGAAAACACAATAAATTAAAGTTATAATAAAAACACAAAAGTACTAATAAATTTATTTTTAAGACATAAAACCAAATAGGTACTTTTAGCATAAATAAACCCAAGACAATCAGAATACAGTAAATTAAATTTTTATTATTACAATTAATTTTATTAAATTTTTTTTTTAAATCAACAAAACAACAATAGTCTTTATTAGACGCTGTCATAGATACCTCATTGGAAATATGTTAACCAATCAAAAGTGTAAGAAAATGAGCAACCTGCGCAACCCAAAATTATTACAGTAATTATATATCCTATGATAGCGAGAATAAAAAAAATGTTGAACAAAAACCATTAAAAATGTAACTTGCATAAATGTAAACTTGTAGTGAAGGATATAAGAAATTTTCTGAATAATAATAAAAGATGAAAATTGTGCGTGTGAAAATGAAAACAAAGTTGAGTAATGAATGTAAGATAATGTAACATAAAAGTTCCTTGATAGTAGTAATAATATGAAAATCAGCAGATAAAGAATAGATTACTAAATACTGTAATAGGAATAACTAAATACTGTAATAAGACCAAATGAATTTCAGCCAAATGAGTGGTTAAAAAATTTATTTGGGGTGATACAACAATGATATAAGTTGTGTTATAAAAACAATGTACAAAGCCGGAAAAAATATTGTTTAGAAGTAAGGTTTTCTCTACAGTCTGAATTAAAAGTAACTTTGAGACTATCTAAATCAAAATTTTCAAAAAGTAAAGTTTTCTCTTTGGTCCAAATTAGACATAATTTTGTGACCATAAATAAACAAGAACAAAAAGACATACATCAAACAAAACATGTGTCGAAAGCGGCTAGTTTAAAAAAATTGCTCTTGTCGTCAAAATGTCAAAGCAATTAAATTAATGCGGAAGTACATTAAATTTTATTGTTTTTTAAAAAAACCGCAAAAATGACTAGAAAGTTTTTTTTAATTAATGGTGTTTTTGTTGTTGTTTTATTAAAATATATATTTTTAAAACATGCGCGGAGTGTTGCTACATCAACTATCTTATAGCTTGACTCGCAACAGAGTGTTGCTACATCAACTATCTTATAGTATATAATAAACAAATTTATCTTGTATATAATAAACATGTGTTGCTACATCAACTATCTTATAGTTTATAATAAATATATTTATTGCATATATAATAAACATATCTATATAATAAACACTTATAGCCTGACTCGCAACAGAGTGCTGCTACATCGACTGACAAATAGCTTGACTCGCAAGGAAGTACTGCTACATCCACTGACAAATAGCTTGACTCGCAAGGGAGTGCTGCTACATCGACTGACAAATAGCCTGACTCGCAAGGGAGTGCTGCTACATGGACTGAGAATATATATATATATATATATATATATATATATATATATATATATATATATATATATATATATATATATATATATATATATATATATATATATATATATATATATATATATATATGCACATATATATGAACCCTAAAATCAAAACTCAATCACACATGATAACCATATATACATAACATACAAATCTGTACCTGCATTCCAGCCACATACTATCTATTGAAATAAAATATTATCTAAAAAAGGATGAATTCAAACAAAGATTGTTTATCTATAAAAGAACAAAACGATGTAAACAGGCTGTATGTGCATAAGAGTGTATAGGTGTAATGTGTAAGTATGTGCTGTTTATGTCGTTCAGTAGAGTCTTATGTTGTTAGTAACTAGCATAAAAGATTTATCTCTGTACTACACCAAGCCAGCCCAGTCTTACTCCAGACAACCATGATGGACTTAATACCTATACATGGAGTTATAACTGACTTCTGATTCTAAAAAAACTAACCCAGGCGTCTTCCAGAGACAAACATCTTCTTCCGCAGTGACAGTAATTGTGATTTCGATTGTAATCATGCTCGATGACCATAACATCAAACTCTACGGGCTAGGCCCAATATTATTCAAAAAGTTTTGCATATAAGATTAGTAATATGCATATATATATAATTAGTAATATACAAAAAGTTGAGTTATTCTTAATATTAGTTAAAATAAATTGAATTAAGCCAAAAAGCACACAAAAATAAAAATATCGTTAACATAAAACTTGTTTTTGCATGTGCAAATAAATGTGATTTTTTTATATATAAATTAATGTTGTTAAAGAACTAGAGAAAAAAAATTGTCAAGAAAATAGAAGGAAAAAAATCTGTTTATTATTATTTATGACCGTATTTAATAATGTTTATAATTTATGACCGTATTTAAATCTGTGTATTAGTAAAATTAAAATTATAGTAATATCTAAATAAAATCATTTTTTAGCATAGTTTGACTCGTCTTTTCGTATAGCTTATTTATAAAAAAAGTCAAATATTTGCTTTAAAAAGCAACTTATTCAATTTTAAGTAAAATATTTCCTCAATTTATCATTTCTACAATAAGTGCTGTATAAATTTAATATAAAAAAGATATTAATTTAAAAATGTATAAAAAGCCAATTTCATATACATACAATACAATACATATATATAGTTAGTTGCATTTATACTACACCAAAATATTTAAGATAAAAACTAAAAAAAAACAGCTAAATCCACCAAATCAAGAACCAAATAGCCCTAATTTTTTAATAGTTTCAACAAGTCACAAACTAGATTAAATATTGCCATATTTGGTCCAGTTCTTCTAAAAATGCTCTTTATTTCAAATTTAGTTAAATTTCAAATTTAGTTAAATTTTGTGCCACTAGTCATTCAGCAAAGTCACAATTTTTTGCCCTAATTGTACTTTTCTCGTTTAAAAATATTTCTAGTTTTTTTTCTTAAACATCAATGCAGTGGAATTCTTTCCTGTCTTTTTTTTTCTGACTCATAAATTATGGACTCTTATGGAGTTTTCTTGCTTTTTGATTCTTTTTTTACCTCCTTGTAACTTGTACTTATAAAGTAGTTGCTTGCAGTTCCATGCATTTAGCTCCATGATGTCAAAGAGGATAGATCACATTCAAGATCGATTGCTTGTTCTATGTGATCAATAATGTTCTAAGTACTAATTTTATATCAAGACTGAAGTGTATATTTGTATTATGAGCAAATAAAGCCAAAAAGAAGATTGTGGAAAAATTTGGTGGAATTTTTTAGCCTTTTTTCTTATCAAGAAAGAGGAAAAAGTAAGGAGAAAGAGGGTTGAGTAAAGTTGTGCTGAAGAAAACTCTTGTAAAATATTGAAAAATATTGTGAGGATTCAAAAAAACATATAAATATTGTGAGGATTCAAACCTGATTTAATGATCAAAAGAATTGAAAAAAAAAAAAGAAAATTGGTGCATAAGTATATGCCCTGGACAATGAATCTGACTATTGGAGTCAAGTAAATTAGAGGATGATAGACATCAATAATGAAATCCATAGATGAATCAGTCAAGTGAAAATGATAGAAACATGGTGACAGTACTCCTATAATTTTTTTTGGTACTATATACTTATAATTTCTTAGGTATTATATACTTACGATATTAGTATACTAGTATTATATACTTACTATATACTCATAATTTATTTGGTACTATATCCTCATGTCTTTAATTTTGTTTGGTAATATATACTCATAATTACTATATACTTGTGATTTAAATGTTAGTTTTTAGCCATCAAATAATGTGACATCAATAAATATGTTGTAAAAGTTAAATTTTAATTCTTTGATTTTTCCTTATATTAAATAAAAAAGCTTTTTGAGTTTTTTTTTTTTTTTTTTTTTTTTTTTTTGACATAAAATTGTGTAATTTTGAGTTATTCTTTGATAAAAGTAAAAGTGTATAATTATTATAATCAAGTATAAACACAATATCAGCATATTTTTTTTTATTCCCATTGTAAAGAAGTTAAATTTATTAAATTTATCAACTTATTTAAATTATTATAAAGTTGATAAAGAAAATTATTTAAATATATTCAAATATATTCAGATTTAGATTACATTATTCAAGTTAATTGATTCTAAAAGAAAAATAATAATTGTTAAATTTTGAAAATTTTAATGTCTATCTTTTTTTTAATATAGCTTTAGATGCTCCTGCTCCATTGAGTATTAGTGATAAAATCTAAAAGTTAGTATTAAGTTGGAAGAACCCAGATTCTCCAGTTCCAATTCTAAAATATAAAGTAACTTTTTTATTTTTTAATTACTTCATTTTATAAAAAAATAAAATATTTAAATAATAGTTATAGTATGTATTCAATAAAACACAAAAAGTTTAATTTTTTTAGTTTTATTTATATTTTTGTCAAATCAGATAAACGTCCAATCACTGAAGCCATACAACAGCTCATTCTTTTTTTTCAATACAATGGAAACAAATATTACAAACATAACCATTGAAGTTGATTTTCATGCAGCCATCTTTAATATATCTGTAGATGCTGTGTATGATGAAGATTATACTGTTAAAGGAGAAAGTACACAGCATTATTCCAATCCAATTTGTAGGTTTTTTTAATTTGTTTACCTTCATACATTTTTTAATGTTTTATTAATTTGTAATGTTAAATTAATTTGTGGATTGTAACAATGTTTTAACTAAAGTTTATTTTTATTCTAGCACCTCCAACACCAATTTTTGAATTGTTAAAATACTTTGATAACTGCACTGAAGTATTTGAATATCAGTTTTATAGTGTATCTGATATCAATGGACCTGTCAGGTCAGTATTTTTAAATAGAAACCATAATTTCTATATATAAAAAAACAACCTAGAAGTTGTAAAAAGTTGTTGCTATAAATGACGATGATTTTTTTAATATTTATAGTTTTTATGAGATAATTATTGCATATGAGAACATATCTTCACTGAATATGGAAACATTGACTTTAAAAGATCAATCCACTGCTGATTCATTAAATCTTTCCTATTTTTTGGCTGCAAAGTTTCCTTCAAATAAATTTATTTCCAGCTCTTTAAAATTTTATGAAGGTTCAGAAACAGTGAATAATTTGAATGCTAGGCTGTCTACACTTAGGAAATTGTTTCTTTATGTTCGTGCTGTCATTAAAATGAAGGTTTTTGTTGCATTATGTTTTTGTATTAAGTTTTCAAAATCATTGTTTTATTTTTTTAATTTTATATGTTATGTAGAATTTTGAGTTTAAGTTTTTTGAGTTTAATTTGTTTGTAATATTTGACTTGTTTGAAAATATTTTTTTTTAAGTTTCATTTTTTATATGATTACTTTTAGAATACTTTGTTTAGCAACTTAACATATTATGGTAATCCCATAATGTTGACTATAGGTAAAGACCACATTTTTTTTTTAACTAATAATAAACAAAGATATTTGGTATAACAATATTTTGCTTTATTATACTGACATTCTTTAGATCGCAAATCACTACCTATAAATAATTTAAAATTCGATAAACGTCATGGTCATATCATTGCTTTAGTGAAAGGAACTTCAAATACAAAGTAAACATTGTTTTTCAAGTTTTATTTAAATAATTTTTAATATAGATTAATTTTTTAACATTCAATTTGAAGAATTTATGAAGTTGTTGCAATGAAAATTAACATGAGTACAATCATTAAAAATGCTACATCAACTTATAAAGACTTTAAAGTTTATGAAACTGCAGATTATAATGAACCTTACATTGCTGCTTCATTTAATGCTTCTATGTATGAAAAGTACAAATATTTTGTTTTAGGTAAGTCTTTTATGCTTATTTTTTTAATAAAAACCTCATTATACACATAAAGTTTATTTTTCCATTGATTGTTTTTTAATGGGTTATTATTATATAATGTTAATTAATTTAAAATCTACATAACATTAGTTACTATAGAGCATTATTTCTTAACAATTTGATTGGATGTTGGAAATTAAATGAATAAAAAATCCATTAGAAACTGAGGCATCTATTTGCATTATCTTGTTCTAAAGAAAAAAACTGTCAATAATGAAATATTTATTAAAGCTACCTATACTTGTGATAAAGTTTTTTTTGTATGCATGATATAGTCATTAATCTTAAAAGTCATTGATATCATTTTAATATGATAAATGTAACTCAGTTAATAATATCAGTTTCTTCTGATGTGGGTTTCATTTACTTTGTAAAGTTAAGATAATTTTTTTAATTGTTTATTGAATACAACTTTTGAAGGTGATCCTTCTACACATTATAAATACTATTATCACCTATTATCCAACACTAGCAATATAATTTACTGCCTTATTGTTACTGATCTTACACATTGTTCCAGGATTTGTTTTTAACTGTGCAGATTTGCAGATTTTTTGCACAAATTCAGCCTGAATTGAAGCTTATTATGATGTTTGCAATATCTAACAGCTAATTTAAAAGTAGCAAGAGGAAGCTTCATACTTTCAAAAATGTCACCTTTTTCATCTTCTCTCAAACAATCCAATGCTTTAAAGTATTTTTTAATCGTCATTTCAACATAGTGTAATAAGTTCATAATTTTTATGTTTAGAATAACAATGATTTCAAATTGTATACTATTTATGAGACAGTTAAAAAATGAATTGTACGTAGATAGAGTGGTACATTTATGGGTTTCAGCAGGAAGTCTACTTTTTCTTCATAGTAAGCTAAAGTGGCCAGTTTTTAGTTTAGCCAGCTAAGAGTTCTAGATGACATATTTAAACAAGATTTGCTGTTATTTTTTTTTAGTTGTGTTTGCTTTTGAACAAGAATTAGAAAACACTAATGGTTTGTGGTCAGATGCAATAACATCTTTTGAATATGATAATGTTATCATCCAATTGTCAATATTTGGATTGTATAATATGTGTTCCACCCAAGATAAAATAATAAAAATAATAAAAAGTGTGATACAACATCACTGTTAAATTAAAGGCATTATTAAGACTGTTTTCTTTCAGGTTTAATAATTATTTTTTTTAAGGCATGATAAGAAAATTTTTCATAAAATCCAAACTCATTAAAGCAGTTAAAATCACCAGCAATAACATTTTTCACTGATTTTATTTTTGAACATTTATTATTTATAAATGTTCAAAAATAAAATGATCATTGTTATAATTAGTAGCAAATTATAAGCAAAGCTATCTTTACAATAAGTCTACCAATTGTTTAACTTACCAGAAAGGCTCACTAAAAACACTTTTTTTCAGCAAAATCACAAAATATTAAAATTAAGATTTAAAATTTACTGCTCAATTACAAAAAATAAATTTATTCTTTTATTCTTATTGCAGCTTCAATACATTTTGTGCAGGGTTTTTTTAAAATTAAAATTAACTTCAAATATATTATTTCGGCTAACTAATTTTTGTTTTATAATTGTGGTGTTATATATAATTTTTTTTTTTTTGTAATCTATCGCTGAATAATCGCTAATATACACTAAGTAATCAAAATTTATATTATGAAAAATAAACGATCAAGAGATATATTTATATAGTAAATATATCTTTATAGATGTATATATTTATATAGTAAATATATTATTTTTAAATGATTTTAAAATCTTCAAATAATTGTTTAAAATAAACATTTAAGAAATCTTATATGTTTATTGTAAACAGTTGTTTACTTTAAACTTCACTTTCTGTTCACTTTAAACTATTGTAAACGTTTAGTTATTATAAACAAAAACTGTATTAAAAGGCAAATCATGCAATTTAATTAGATCAATGTATCAAACTCATTCATTCAAAGTTTAATTACTAGAAATTCTTTTGTGAAATAATTCTCTCACACAATAAAAAGAACCTATTCAAATATTTTTTTAAAATTCTTTTCTTTCGTATTCTCTTATTTTATTTTGCGTTATGAATTTTATATCTGTACAAATCAGTTTCCTTTTTGCAATATATTCCGATTATTTTGCAAAAATGTGACACACGTCTATATTGAGTAAATAGAACTTGTTGGTATTCAATTTCAAGTTTTTTGTTTTTAAGGTTAAATTTTGTTAAAGACTGTACACTTGGTAGTTAAAAATCATTTTTTAAACATAGGTATGACAAATATAGTGTTATTATATGATATATGATAAATATTGATACAGTTATGTACTTAAAGGCTCGAACAATATCTATTAAGTACATAGGTGATGCTTCTCATCGCAAATAATTTTTCTTGTAGAACTTTCTTTTTTTTTTTGCTCATTTCAATAATGTTTAAAAAACAAATTGCTTCAGATAAAGTAGAAAATTTTTCCATTACCCTTATTCAGTTATGTGAAGGTATAACATCAATGTAAACATAAAACTTCAGGTTAACAAAGAACTTATTAATTTATTTTGTTAAAAATTGTTTCAAATAGTTATACAGAGATATTTTAACTTCTAATTGTTTGAGCCATTTTTCAATCAAAGACAGTAGAAGTCACTGTACTGCAAAGATAAACTTATTTTTAGCTTGATTTTTGTATTTTGTTGCATTAGGTAAGTTTCTCCATTTTTCAAAAATTACGTTAGTTCCTTTTCATATGTGCTAACACACCTTTTCCCAAAATATTGAGTGTTAAACTATTATATCTCTAAAGATTCCTGGAATTTAAATTATTCTCCTTTAAGTTTTTATTTGGTTTTAGCTTAGAATTGTTTTTTTAAAAACAAGAGGTACAAAGTTTAAATCCCATCACTTCATATATAGAAGTGAAGAGTTTTGGAATTATATAATTGATAGATTTGAAAAATTTAATTTTAAAATTAAAAATTAAAAATTGAGTTTAAAAAAAAGCCCAAAATAAATATTAACGTAAATATAGTTTAGCAAAAATTAATTTATATATTTTACATAAATTAATATTTCTAAACTAATTAGTTTTCTCAGTTTTTTTTTTTTTTTTTTTGGTTTGACATTAAAAGATCTGTGTGGATGGTGAGACCATTGAAAATAGGCTTTAAGCATTAGTTTAAATCAATACTTAATTTTAATATAATTTACACTGCTAATATATTTCTTGCAAATAATATTTGAAAGAAACACTATGAACATTGATAATCAACAATCTTTTTCTATAATTATATATTTTTTTAAATGAGGTATTCTATATCAATTCAATCAATTCTTGCAATTAGATTGTTGTATACTATCTAAATTTTTATATTTTTTCTGCATCATTAAGCTTTCACAACTTATTATGATCCACCATATGGAGGTTGAAAATAAGGTCAAATTCTTAGCTGTGTCACTCAGTTATATTTTTTGTGAATTAATTTATTCACTCATATGTTAACTTGATAAAATTCAGGTAGATTGCAATATTTATCTAACATGAATTTTTTTGTATTTTAGGCAACAATGAGAAGTTTGAAGGTTATCAATTTAATAATGATCAAAACAATACTAATCATTATTTAAATGGTAAACTGATTCCTGGTCAAACATATACATTGTTTCAAAGAAATATTCTAGATGATGTAATTTTTAAATACTTATAATATAAGCAGTAGTGAAATTATTTATTCTCTTATTTGTAAACTAATTGCTAAATAAACACTACGTTTTAAAGGAGTTTAAGTTTCCTAAATGGTTTTATTATTGTTGGCTTTAATTTTTTATGAGTTGAATTTAATCTTTTTTTAAATTTTGATGATTTGTATTCTTTTTTTAATCAGTAAAATTTTGTTTTCTCTTTTTTTATAATTGGTAAAAATTTTTGAAAGAAAAAGTATATAAAAAATATATATATAAAAAACTCTTGACTTATATGAATTAAATTTTTTTATTAACATTGTTTTAGGGTCGTATATACACAAGTCCATGGCTACCTGAGTTTATTGGTAAATTAAAATTATTATTTTTTGTGTTGATCAACTGTAAATAATTGTTATTATTATCTGTTAATACTTTAACTTAGAAATAATAGTTTATAAATTTATAGTTGATTACAATTAATTAATTTAATATTTTCTTATAATTAATCTTAAAGAGTTTAAGTATTTATAATACATATAAATATGTAATAATAGTTTCATTCAGGTATAAATAAAATTTTGAAAAAAACAAGATTAAGAAATACATATATAAAACAATTTTTTATTACCCAATGTAATGATTTAGTTATTTAGAATTCTTCAACAAAGGAAATGTATTATTAAATGAATATTAAATACTTGAAAAATAATATTATTATGAAAACTGCGCAATTTTATAACAATCCTTTACAAAAATAATATAATTTTGTAAAATTTTGTTTCCAATCAGACCTTAAACCAAACAGAGTTTTGGTTCATTATGATAAAAAAATTTATTTTTTTATTAATTTTTTTTTTATGATTTGAATAAATTTTAATAACTTTCTTTTTCTTTTTTTTTTTAGCATTATCTAAGTTTACTCCTTCAATTAGTAAATCATCAACACACTCATATCTTTTTGGATTAATTGTGATACCTGTTTTATTTTGCGGTTTGATTGCATTTTTTAAAATGTAAGTTATATAATATAAGTTACATCATAAAAGTAAAAAAAGAAAAAATAATATTATTGTTTTTTTTACAAAAAATAGCCTTTTGATATAAAAATATTTTTTGATATTATAACACTCCGAAAATTAGGTGTTATTTAATATCTTAATTATTTATGCATGGAGTATTTTTTTTTTTCTAAAGCTTTAGGAGCACTTTTAGTGTTGTGTTGTGCTTTTCAAACTTCTTTTTTCTGCCAATAAGGTAATGGTTCCAAATTTTTAATAGAAATTTCAGGATGGCGTTTGATGTATGTTGTAAAAGCCTTTGTTCAAATTGCAGTTTCTCTTGATACAAACAAATGTATGAGAATTCAGAACATTTTTTTGCTTTGTTTGCTGCTATGTTGTGCTGTTAAACGTATGTGAGATGCCTAGAGATTTGTGTTTTACATTCTCTCACATGTTTGATGGTTTCTAGAACTATTCTGTTGACTGTGTTATCTAATTAGATTTTTTTTTTGTAAAGTAATCATATTTTATTGGTCTAGTTTTGACATTCATGACTTAGCATTATTTTACATTTATCTACAAATTTACATCCTTTTAATGCTCTAATTTATATCAGGATGATAATTTCTTTTCTTTACAATTTCAATGATTTTCATGATCTTTGTAAATGGTTTTTATTTTGTAAATACCTTGTTGCTGTGAACTTTGTGTAGCTTTTATATAATTATAACGAATAGCTAAAACCTTTTGTTTAAGTGATTCACTTCAATACTTGAGGTATAGAAATGTTTATAATGTTGTGTGACATTTCATGATTTTAGATAGGAACCAATATTCTGTTAAAATCATTGTTCTTTTTAAATAATATGATCTCTCTAACTGTTGTAGAACCTTATCAATACTGTAATAACACTGACTCTAGAGTTATTTTATTTTGTTCTTTGTTGGAATATTTAAAAATATTAGAACATATTAATGAGACACATCGTGTTTTTGGTTGTTTTTTTTTACAGGAGAAAAAAATTTAACAAAGATAAATTAGTGCAGTCTAAAGTAATCCATAATAGAAATAATGAAGATACGATGCAATATCAGGGTAAAATTTATTGTTGTATCTTGGTTGTATTTAAGATTTTTCCTGTTTGGTGAATAAAAATAGATTTTTGTTGGTAAACAAAACAATGCTTTATTTTGGTGATTTTTTCTTTATAGATTTGTCTTTAAAATACAATAATCCCTACACTGCCTTACAAACTGTTCAGAAATGGCCACCAGTGTTTGTTAATGCTTTTGCTGCTTATTACTTAAATGTAAAAAAAAACGATTATAAAGATCTTATGACACAATATGAAAGTGTTTCTAAAAACAAAATATATCCACATACTGAAGCTACAAAATATCCACATAAAAATAGATATGCAAACATTGTCCCATATGATCACTCACTAGTCAAATTAGTTTCAGATTTCACTAATGAAAATACTTATATTAATGCAAATTATATACCCTCCTACTCCAAAAAAGTAATTTACATTGCAACCCAGGCTCCTAAGAATGAAACTATTGTTGACTTTTGGCGAATGATATTTCAGGAAAAGCCTAAAGCTGTTATTATGCTTACTAATCTAGTTGAAAATGATAAAATAAAATCTGCTCAATATTGGCCAGAAAGTAATGAAGAATATGGCAGCCTTAATGTTTGCGTTATAAAAACAGAAAACTTTGCTGATTATATTATTCGTTATATTTCTTTAAATTTCAAAGAAGTAAACCATCATTTTATTCATATGCAGTTTACATCTTGGCTTGATAATGGTTGTCCCGAATACCCAACAATGTTACTATACTTTTGTCATCGATTTCGTTGTTTAGTGCCATATTCAGATAAATCTCTCACTGTTGTGCACTGCAGTGGTGGAGTTGGTCGCACAGGTGTTTTCATTTTACTTGATGAAATGTTGCAGTTAATTAAATCAGAACAAAAAGTTGATATTTTCAATTATTTTGAAACTATTCGTCAAAACAGAATGCAAATGGTTCAATCAAAAGAGCAATACATATTTGTTTATGATGCAATTTATGAAGCAGTAACATGTGGTCAAACTGGTATTTCAATATCAAATTTCCAAACAATTGTTAACAATCTACTCATGAAAGATTTTTCCTCTGGAAAAAAACTTATTGAGGATGAATTTAAAATTCTTAAAAGCATTTCTCCAGTTCGAGAAAGTTGTTCTGAGACAGAATATTTGAGGAAAAATCAATACTCTCAAATTTTGCCTGGTAAGTAAGAATTTGTTTTGTTTTTTGTTTTTTGTTTTTTTTGATTTTTACATAGTTGAGTATAACAATTTATATAAAACACAATGGCCACTGAATATCAGCTCAGTTTTGATATTTGTGAATTACATGATTATATTTTAGTATTGTAAAGTATTGTTACAAATATTAAAAAAAAACTATTGTTAAAAATTTGTTTTTTTCAATTAATTTTTTTTTAATATTTATTTTATATTGACTAGTAACAACTAATATAATGAATTTGTGCAAACATTCCCACACATGTTCCTATCAGATCGTGTGTTTACACGCCTTCAAAACTACATCATCATGCTGATGAACCCGAATTGCAAAACATATTCATGACTGTAATAAGCACTGACTTGGTTAGACAATGATACACTATATTATTATTATAGACCAATCATTGTGCTGGTAATTTTTAACTGAACTATGTGTGTTCAGTATTGTGGTTCATACATTTTTTCTTATGTTTTGATGATTTTTTTTTTACAAATCTGTTTAAAATTGTAGCACAACAAGTATCATGTGAAATATATAAATGAATCTAAAAAAAGAGTGCCTGTAAGCATATAGTGTTTCTTAAACAGAGCAGTAAGAAATTAATAAATAATTTTTTAATTTGAGTTTCTACTGTCAGTTTCTTTTTCAGCTGGATCATCAGGAAGAAAGCCTAAATTTCAAAAAATTTAATTTTAAGGACAAAATTTTCACACATAGTTTTAAGTTGTTATAATTAACTTCAACTATTTTATATAGTGTAGTTGAAGGATGATAAAGCCATCCTTGAACATATACATTGTGATTATAGAATTTATACAATATTGCTACTATTAAGCTAATGTCAATTTTTTTTTTGTCTTAACTAGTCCTCACTAAAACTTGTTTTTTACAATTTTTAGTTTTTTTTCTTTAAAAAACAAATTTTTAAAAAAAAAATTGCTGAAAGTTGTAATTTCAATCAAAATATTGGCTGCCCTATGAATAGCAAATGCTAATCAAAAAATATTATTCACAAATGCATTGTTTCTTCACAAAACAACTCTGATAAATAATATACTGGTTTCACCGAAGGCGAATGGAAAAAACACATGGCCAAATACAAATAATCTTTTAAACATAAAAAATACTCAAAACAGACTGTCAAAATATATTTGGCAACTAAAAAAAAATATGTTAATTTTAAATTAAACTGTTCTATCTAAAAATAACTACGTCTGTCTATAATAACATTTCTAATAAATGTATAGGGTAGTCCGGGGCTAATCTGAACGCGGGGCTAATCCGAACCGTTTATTTTTTTTAACTTATTTTATGTATTATTAAAAAATGAAGTATTAAGTTCTGATTAAACTTGTTTTATATAAAGTATACTTGTGGAACAACAATATATAATATTTATTCTTGCGAAAACACAGCGGCTTTAGAAAATGTTTTCGTTTTCCCATAATGGCTAAATTTTGAAATTTTTTTTAACTCTTTAACTTTTAAAAAAGAACCCATTTATTTATTTTATATTTTTTTACAAAGATAGCTTTTAATATCAGAATTTTACGCATAATTTATTGTAGTATTCCATTAACATTTGGTACATTAAACTATTCCACCGGAATTTTGACATTGAAAAAATGGAGTTAATCCGAACATTTCTGGGGCTAATCCGAACATTGTTGTTGTTAGCCGGTATCCATATACTTTAACATTTATTTAACAAGTTATATGTAAAGTTATAAGTAATTAATTTAATTAAGTTAATTAAACCTCATTGACGTCATTAAATATTGATTGCGGTTTCAGTTTGAATAATTTTTTGGTTTCGTTTGTTTTGTTGAGAAGAAGTCAAGTAAACCAAATAATATACTTGAATTAAATTTTTACAGATAAGCATTGTTTTACTTGGTTTCTTTATTTTACTTTTTAACTTTAACTCTATCACTTTTATACTGTGATTGATGGTGATTAGTTGTGTTTAGTTATGCGTTTTACATGATTTTTTTCTGAATTTTTTTAGTTTTTATAATAGTTTGTCATTATAAGAAAAAAAAACCGTTTGCCTTATATACTTCAGAAGATATTGAGCAAGCCATAGCAGAAATTCAAGCAGCTGCTTCAATACGTGCGGTTGCATCAATGTATAACATTCCTGTCACTACCCTCTATGACCACGTATCTGGAAAGTCAAAACTTAGTAAAGGGCATCCAACAGCCTTATCTTTTAGTGAAGAGGAATACATTGTATCCTCATTAGAATATGCATCCGATTTTGGTTGGCCACTAAATCGAAAAGACATTAAAGCAATTGTCACCCAATTTTCGAACAGTAGTGTAGGTAGAGCACTTCCCTGGGATAGTAACAGGCCAGGTGACGACTTCTTACTAGGCTTTGAAAAAAGATGTATTTCTGGAATATCTAAAAGAAAACTTCAGAAGTTTTAACAATTTCAAGAGCTAAATTTCTTTCTGTGAAAAACAAATTTTTTTGAAATCTTTAAAAGAGTTTATGATAAGTATGATTTACATAATAATCCTAACCGATGTTATAATCTGGATGAGTCCATATTTTCTACCAGTGAAGGAAATGAACAATGTTTTTTTAGACACGGCATACATTTCACCCCCAAATTAAATGCTTCTTGTGGCAAAACTATGTTCTCGGTATTAATTTGTGGAAACGCTACTGGTTTTCTTATGCCACCTCTTGTAGTTTATAAAGGCAAAAATCTTCACAACACTTGGTCTATGGGGGGACCTCATGACGCCCAATATGTTGTATCTAAGTCTATGTCTTTGAAAATTGGGTGCATATGTCTTTGAAAGGGTGCATATGTCTTTAAAAATTTGTTTATCAAGGTAAGTCTGCTAGTAAGACCCTTTCAGCATAAATTTTTGTTTATTATTTTACCCTTTCAATGTGTAGATATGTTAAATTTTACTTGTGTTTTTTTTTTTTTTAATATTTAAGGTCTTTATTCCTTACAAAATTAGTCAACATGAAAAAGATTTGTATATAGCACTATTTATGGATGATCATGGCAGCCACCTTACATATATTCTTGCATCAGAGGCAAAGTCCAACAATGTAAGCGGCTTTATCTTAAAATTAACAATAATTTCCTAATTTAGTTTCATTTAAGCTTTCATTGATAACTTTCTGTAATTTAGATTGCACTTATTTGCCTTCCCCCAAATAGCAGTCACGCTTTACAACCTTTAGAGGTCGGTTTCTTTAAACCAATGAAGCAATTTTGGAGAGACATTTTGCGCAATTTCTTCCAAGAATCTCGCCATGCGTTGGTCGAGAAAGCTCTTTTTCTGAGACTAACCTGGCTGAAAATAAACAGAAAAACTTTAGAATCTGGTTTTGTAGCCTCAGGTCTATATCTGTTAGATCCATCAAAAGCTGCCAAAAAAGTGCTGGTGACGACAGAGAATACAAAAGATAATGACTCTCCTCATCATGACCTTTAAGCTGCTATTTTAAAGTGTTATTGCCAACAAGTTATAAACAATAAAAGAAAAGGAAGAAAACAAGTGCAAGCAGAATGTGGCGAGGTTCTCACTGAAAAAGCTGCCTTAAATTGGAGAAAAGAAGGAGAAGCGGCAACAAAAAAAAAATAAAAAACTTGCTCAAAATAAAAGGCAAATTTAAAGTATACGTTATTTAAGAAAAAGAAAATATCAGCATTTTATGTATAATTTTATCTTTGAATATTTCTTCAAATTTCTTCTTCAAAAAAACGATATTAACAAGTGTTTTTTGCGCACATCGACTTTGGTTCGGATTAGCCCCTGCATGGGGCTTTTCTGAAAAAGGCATATTTTTGTATCAGGCTCTGCAAATACAATATGTCTTTCTTTAAAAATGCTTGAAACATTTACTTGAAACATGCAATGTAAAAAAAAAAAAAGTTATTGCAAAAGCTAAAGAGAAAAAAAATACAAAGTTTAAAACAATGTTTTTTTTCGGATTAGCCCCGGACTACCCTACTATGTTTACAAGAAAAAATTGAAATTATTACTCATTTGGATCAAGAAAATTTACTAAACAAAAAATCTAAATTAAATTCAAAATTTAGACATGAAAATATGTATTTTCTAAAAAGTTATAAAACTAAACTTATCCTATTTCTAAAGAATTCTTTTCATGATTAATTTAATGTAGTTGATGCAACTTCCTGGCTGCAAAATAGATGCAGTTGTTACATAATTAATTATAACATAATAAAAAATTTAAAAAATATATTATACAAACACGCGCACACATGCACACACGCACAAACACCCACAAATATACATACACATGTTAAGACTAGAGAATATAGTTGTATTATCAACAAATAGAGCAACTTAGAAGTATGATTATTAGAAATTAGTTAAATATTAATATGAGTTAATATATATAAAAGAAAAAATACAGAATCAATGTTAGAACCTTATGGTAACTTTAAAGTCTCTGGAAATAATGTTGAGAGTTGTTCATCTTCTTGATAAACTCCTTCTAACCTTTCTATTATAAAGTTCTTTGTCTTTATATAATATAATATATATAATATACAATACTGTTGAGATTAAACGCCATGTTAAATCTTTTACAGACATAACAAGAAAGTTAAAGATTAAAGTCAAATTAAGTCTAGTTTAGCTTTAAATAAGTTGAGATTTTTAACTTCCACTGTTTCAATTGGTAAATTTGTAAAAAAAACTTCACTATTTTGATTTATTTATATTTGTTATATTTCTTATCGGTGAATAAATGATGTTTATTACCTCAAATATTTGAATATGGACCATAAGCATTTAACGAGCACGAATGTTGAGGGGGTATTTTCCAAGTTATTTTCTTTATATCACAAAACCATTTTTACATTTGTATGAGATCTTCTCGTATTCTTCGTTGTTTTAAAGATGTTAGTTTCATTTTTTCTAGTCTTTCAATGTATGATAGATGACGTAGCTCAGGTACAGATTTCATTACTCGTTTTTGAATTTTTTCTAATATACTTATATCTTTTTCAAGATAAGAACTCCATACCTGTACTGCAAATTCTAATTGCAGCCGTATATAACTACAATACAATAACTTTATTAGTTCACTGTTTTTATACTTAAATGATTTGCATATTATACCAAATTTATAGTTTGCAATAGATGATGCAATTTTGATTTGTGGTTCCCATTTTAAGTCATTTAAAATTAATTTGCCTAGATCCTTTTCCAATTTAGTTGTACTTAATTCTTACTTTATATTATTGTTAGTCATGAAATATTTATTTTTTTTTTTTTGTTAACAATATACATGATTTTACATTTTTCAAAATTGAATTGCATTTTCCAGTTTATTACCCATTTTTCTAACATAGAAATGTCATTTTGTAAAGCATGTGCATTCGTTTCATTATTAACTTCAGCTCTTACTTTACAATCATGATGATTGTAGAGTAATAGCTGACATACAAGCCCATGATGATAAAATATTTATAAAAAATCTTCAATTTAAAAAATATTATTATAAAAGAAATTATCAATAAGTATTAAATATGTTGTTTAAAAAAAAAATTTCTTCATTTAAAAAAGTTTATACTTTTTTAAAGTTATACTATTTATTTCTTAAAACATTTATACCATAACTTTATTGTTTAATGTTTGCTTTCTCACAATCTAGTTGTTGTTGTTTTTAAGTAGGGAGGCAATTGTTCAAGGGTGAATTTCTTATCGGTCAAAAAAATAAATTATGAGCCATTTTTTCTTTTAACATTTTAATCATTTCTAATTGACATTTTAAGATTCAATCTAAAAACTTAATGTAAAAACTTTTGTTAAAAAGCAATTTAAAAATTTAAAAAAAGCATATTTTTATAAATTTGTTACATAGGAGATAACTTACTGGTATCAAATGAACTTTACCTTAATGCTGTTTTTGTTGACGGTTATAAACGAAAAAAAGCTTTTATAGCAACTCAGCGTCCATCTCAATCTACAGTCGCAGAGTTTTGGTATGTTCTAAAGAAACATAATGTTTCAACTATTATCTACCTTACCTCTAGAAACGAAAAAAAAGAACCATCATATTATAAATTTTATCCATCAGATTGTGATTTGAAACTCGATGGTGTCACTGTACAATTGTTATCTGAAGAAAAGTTAGAGTCTGTAATTAAAAGAAACTTGTCGGTATCTCTTGAGGTATAGTTTTGAGATAGCTATATGAAATTTTTTTTTAAGAAAATAGCAGTGTTTACAAAATTTTATTTCTTTATTTTTTTATTTTTTTAAATAAGTTAAGGTAATAAATAATACATCAATAATCTACATTCTTTACTATATAGTTTAATAGCCTACATTCTTAGTTTTATACATTTATACATTCTTAAATATAGTTACTAAGCATTTTATCTAGTTTATTATAAATTATTTAACATTAGAAGTAATGATTTAGAATGAAACTTTTATGTGCATGCTGGAGTTTAACTTTTGGTCTGATAATTGTTTACCAAGTTTTGACCTAATTTTACAGTTGATTACTGAAGTATCTAAATCACAGCAATATTTAGGAAATGATATTGTTGCAGTTGTTTGCAAGTAATACATTTTGTTGAACATTTTAGTCTTTGTTAGTTTTATTTCATATATATATATATATATATATATATATATATATATATATATATATATATATATATATATATATATATATATCTACATATATATATATATATATATATATATATATATATATATATATATATATATACATATATACATATATATATATATATATATATATATATATATATATATATATATATATATATATATATATATATATATATATATATATATATATATATATATATATATATATATATATATATATATATATATAATGTTTAGCAAAAAAAATTTTAACAAATATAAGTAAAAGGTTTCAGGTAACAAAAGAAAAACTATTCAAACTAAGATAAGTAAAATATATTTATTAGTTAACTTTTAACAAATATTTTAAATTTTTCTCTAACACAGAAAGCCTTTCATATAAAATCTTCAGCTGTGTATGAGATTTACAAAACTATAAAAAACTCTTTATATTTAATTTCCTATAAGAAGTTTAAAAAGGAAATAATTAAGGATAAATTTATCCAAAATGAAGTTATCAATGTTACAAATATCTCTATTATTCAAAGGTCCTAAGTTTACTCTCACAACCAAAGGTAAGCTATTTTCAGTGAAATCCGATTTAAAAGAATTTACAAGGAAATTGATCATTTATAAACAGTTTTATGATAAAGAAGAATACAACAATGAATCGTTAGTAAAAAATAAATCTAATCGAAAAATGTTTACATCGAATGCTCTTTTATCAAGCATTGCACATCACTTAGTTCCTGGTGAAATGAAAGTAAATTATAAGATTACAAAAAAGGAACGTGATGCCTTAGAAGAACTAAAGATTAACAACAAAATAATCATTAAATCTGCTGATAAAGGAGGCTGTTTAGTTCTGATGGATGAAGGCTACTATAGAAATAAACTTGTGTACCAAGACCATTGGTATAATAACTGAAACATATAAAAAAGTTGATAGTAACACAGATAATATATGCTTTAAAAAACTTAAAAATCACATGGATAAGTTTAAAGAATGTTTAACAAAAAAAGAAACTACTTATCTCAAAAAATATGAATGAAAATCTAGAAATTTTTATGTTACCGAAAATTTACAAATCTAATGCAATAGAAAATTTTATTAAAAAAATCTAATAATGAATATAATGAATTTTTATGCCCAGATGATCTGAATGGAAGACCAATAGTCGGAGGTTCTTTTTCACCTATCCAACACCTTAGTGAACTCATTGAAAAAATTATATCACCTTTTGTACCAAAATATGTAAACTATGTGATGAGATACCTACCAGATTTTTAGAAGCTTCTATTTTAGAAAGCTTGAATTTTATTTTAAAGAACAATAATTTTACTTTCAATAAAAAAATTTTCAATCAATCAATCGGAACAGTTATGGGAACAAAAATGGCTCCACCATATGCTTGTTTAGTAGTAGGATATCTTAAGTAAAATTGTATCCTAAAGTTTTACCAAATTTCTTCAATAAAATTGAATGCAACAATATTCAAAATAATTTCAAAAGATACATGGATGATGGTTTTGTTGCTTTATTAAAATCAATTAATGTTAATTTGCTGTTAAAGTGTCTTAACTTTTTACACCCCAATATCAAATATACAGAAGAACAATCTAAAATTATACGAAAACCACACAATACCAATTTTAAAACTTTATAATATAACAGTTATTCTACATGGTAACAACATTATTGAAACAGATATTTTTTATAAACCTATAAATTCCCATGATTCCACATACAAAGGAAAATATACCTTTCACATTAGCTAAACGAATAATTTGTTTTCTGTCTTATCGAACAAAAATGGAAATCAGACTTCAACAACTAAAACAATTTTTAGTTCTATGCAATTTCCCAGTAAAAATCATTAATAATGGAATTTTTAAAACTTGACTGCAGGGACCAGCACCTCAAAAAAGAGAAGTTAACAAAATTTACCTTTTGTAACTACAAGTTTTGCAAATAATAACTTTGAAAATTTGTTAACTACTCTAGATGGTATTTTGAAACTTTTTGTTTTAGACAATAAATTTAAATCAGTTTTTAAAAACACTTCTATTGTAATATCACTACGCAAACCAAAAAATATTTTAAGAAACAGAAGTACATCAACTTTTAATAAAAGTTTTTATTAACGATGAATACAATGTTTTAAAATGCGTATCAACACGTTGTAAGTTATTTTCTATGCATCTTCAGTTTGTTAATCATTTTACAACATTATCTGGTAAAATATGGTACATTAAAACTTCAATATCATGTAATTCAAAAAATATTATAAAACAGATATTGGTTCAGATAAATTTGATCAGCATGTTTTTAATTGCCATAAAAATGAACCTTTTTTTAAATTATTTCCAATGTTTAAACTTTTAAATGAGAATTTACTTCTTATTTATGAAGCTCACCTAAATAAACAGGGACATGATACAATGAACATATAAACAGAAAGTAATTATTTTTACATTACTTTTAATATTTCCTTACCAACAAGAATCAAGTTATTCTATATTATTGTTAATTATAGTTTTTTTATATGAACCTTCCTTTATAAACTTTTTTTAGAAAGCTCAATATAAAGAGTTTTTAAAGTTTTGCAAATCTCATACACAGCTTAAGATTTTATATAAAAGGTCTTTTGTGTTTTTAAATACATGTTAAAAATTACCTAATAATATATTTTACTCATCTTAGTTTGAATAGTCTTTTGTTACCTTTAACCTTTTACTTATATATATATATATATATATATATATATATATATATATATATATATATATATATATATATATATATATATATATATATATATATATATATATATATATATATATATATATATATATATATATATATATATATTATATATATATATATATTTATATATATATATATATATATATATATATATATATATATATATATATATATATATATATATATATATATATTAGGGTGGTTAAAATTTAGGTCAAAAATTTCTTACGACTAGAGTGGAAGTGTATAAGGTGCACAGACCCTTGTTTTATATCTAGGATTTTTTTTTTTAAGTTTAAGTGTGGCACACAGCTCAAAAGTACTTTTTTTTTTACCCTTTTTGACGTTTTTCGACCAGTGTGTGCCACCCTTAAACATTATTAAATTCAAATTTTTTTTTTTTTTTACATATTCTTGCAATAACCTATAAAAAAAAATAAAAAGGCACTCTATTCGTATTTTTTTTTGTTCAACACTGAAAAACTTATAGAAAAGTCGCTAAATAATGACAAAAAAACGATTTTCTTTATTTAAATGACCGCGGTAGCATGTGTTGCAGCTTGTGATAAATAACATGTAGACATGGAAAAAACTTCAAAACTACGTATAACTATACTTATATCAAAGTGTGATGCTTTGAAAAAATTCCAGTGATCGTAGCCTGAGATCTAGAAAAACCGTAAAACTTAATTAGTTTAATTGTATTTAATTGTAATTTTATTGTAGAGTTCAAAAGTTTTGATCATGTAAAGTTGCCACCCTCCCCAAAAAGAGGGGGTTACAAACTCAACGTATAGATCTATGGTATTTTTATTACAAAATCTAGTTTAATGTATTACATAATTTTTGATGTTAAACTTAGAGATTACTCTAGATGAAGTTGGATTACCACTCCCCTAATAATATAACTTTATTACGAGTTGCAGGTAGAAAAGTGGGAATAAATAAAAACAAAATTAGCGTAATTTTAAATTTTGATTAAATAACCAACAATCAGCATTTTAAAATACTATTAATTACATTTGATGTTAAATATTTTTTCTTTGTCCCTTTTTTATTTCTTTTGTAAACATGGTTTAACAAGAACAAATCTTGTCTCTTCTTCTCTTTGTTGATTTTCCAATCAGCTCTTTTACTAGATTTATAGTCCTCTCTGACGAATCGTTAACCACATCTAGAGATTTAATAGTAAATTTAAATCAAGATAAAAATCGTTAAACTTCCAAAACTGTGAGGGGATCTTAAGCCATTGCAACTCACCCTTTCCATGTCCCATCTTATCAAAGATGAACCAAGATTGCTCAGTTATTAGAGAAGGAGGCTGATCTTGTGAAAAGTCTAGAGAGTGAAGAACCTCTTTATTGACCATAACACGTTCAAGTGGATACACTATTGGTTTGATGGGAAGTTTATTGTATAATGATGTAGCAATATCTTCTCTGTTTGGGCAATGTTTATCTGCTAATGCAAGCACAACTAAGGCAGGATCAAGGTACCAGCTGTGTCTGTCAAATGATTTTATTGCTAAAGTGGCTCTAAGAAGATTTACATCTATGAACCTCTTCATCTGCCACAGAGCTTTCATATCCTAAAAATATATTTAACAATATTAGATTAAGTCATCAATTGGAAAATTAACTCATCATTTTTTACGTTTTTTCTTATTTATAATGATTATTTTTAACCTGATATGGCGCAGCAGTTGCAATACTGCTCTAAAAAACCATTGAGTGTAAAAGATACCACCACTTCACAAATCTCCTCCTTATTTTCTTCTGATAAACTTGGAATAGCTTCCAATAGTAAATACATTTTGAGATAATACAACGCTTTTGACATGAATCTTGCATGATGTATTGGACCAGGAATACGAAATTTGAACCTATCTTTTTGAGAAACTACCATCAAAGATAGTTCCGCTAACTCTTGATAATCCTTTCTTGATTTAATATCCTAAAAATAAAGGATTTTTTATATTTATGATTATGATTTATTTTATTATGATTGTGTATACAGATTGTTTAAATTATTTTAAGCAAGCTACTACAAAACTGTAATTAACCTTTTTGTAGATCCTGTTATCTATTACATCTCTGTAGGATTTTTCAGCCTCAAGATGTTGTTTATTTATCCAAGTTCCATTTGGAGTTTCAATCCTCTTCAATGTAACAATGTCTTTTTCAAGATCATTCAAGACAGATTTCAGGTGTTTATAGAGCTGGTTTTCTGGACCAGACGTTTTACTACTGGGATATATCTTGTTAAAGTGGGTAATATGTCTTTCCAATATATGATGTTTACAGGCAAGGAAAAGTAGTGGCCTTACCAGCTTATCGGCCATTATTGTTATAACTCCTTGGTGCTTTCCAGTGTTGGAAGCTGTAGTATCAAAGCATATACACTGTATATGATGACTAAGGCCGAAAGAATCTAATAGATTATAAACTGCTTTGAACTGATTATTCCCAGAACCTGACTCAATATAAGGAATACCTAGGAGCTCAGTTTTCCCATTCACTTTCACTAGTACTGCTAATCTTTCTCTTGTAACTGAAATGTTATCTGTATATTCTTTAAATATTTTGCCGTCAAAGTAAACAGAAGTCAGCTTATATTTGGAGTCAGTCAAGTCTTTTATATACTGTCTAATTTTTTGGGCCGTGTGCCACCCTTAAACTTCAAAATAAAAAAATTAAAAAAAATCCTATATATAAAACAAGGGCCTGTGCACCTTATAAACTTCCACTATAGTTGTAAAAATTTTTTGACCAAAATTAAAACCACCCTAATATATATATATATATATATATATATATATATATATATATATATATATATATATATATATATATATATATATAATATATATATATATATATATATATATTTGTAATGTTGACTTTAGCAACGTATTTAGTCGCTCTGGTGTTTTTATTTCATGTTTTAATGCAATTGAACAGTTGCAAATCGAAGGGCTAGTTGATATATTTCAAGTGGTGCGTCGAACTCAATTAGCACATCCTCATTTTGTTCAAACTTTAGTAAGTCTGACTATTTTAATAAGCGTTTATATTTTTTGCCTAATAAATATTTTGTTTCTTTACTTAAAAAATAGTTTAGTTTTTAGAAATAGTTTTACTTTTAAATATACTTTACGAACAAAACTCTTTTTCAGTCTCAATACGAATTTGTTTACAAGTTGATAAACAATTATATGGAAACATTTTCCTATTATTCAAATCTTACATGAACTATTCAGAAAGAAAAACGTACCAAACGTTTGATATATAAAGTTGACAGAAAAAAAACTGTTTAACTTTTTTTTAAAGAAAAAACATTTTTTAGAGTTTTTTTTTTTCTTTTAAAATTATAAATATTTTACCGCTATTTTTATGCATTTTTTATTAAAATTTTTTAAGATTTTTTTAAGATATAAAGAAAAGTTTTTTATGTATGATTTTCATAACTATATATATATATATATATATATATATATATATATATATATATATATATATATATATATATATATATATATATATATATATATATATATATATATTGTGTTATATATAATATATTTTTTAAACGAGATAAAAAACTGATAATATAATACTTTCATATTTTAGAACGATTTTTTTTTTTTGTTTTTGTTTTTTATAAACAATTATTCGTGATTTTATGTTAAAAATATAAATATAAGAAATTAAATTTTTTTTTTAATAGTTAACTTTATTAAAATCAAATTTCATTTCAAAGCTATAACACATTCTTTCTCAGATTTGATGTAATTAAGTAAATATTAGTTAGCCCCCTGTCCTGTGTGTGAGGGGAACGAGTTATTTTGTTTGTTTTTTTTTTACTTTTTAATGAGTTATTTATCAATTTAGTTATTTGTTTTTTAATTTTCTTTTTTAATGATGCTTACATAATTAATTTTTATTTCAATAAAAATTAATATAGTCTTAACTTTACGAAGTGCCCGTAATTTAATTTTTTGTAAAGTACCCGTCATCGTCTCCACAATTTTACTTTGCGCCACATTTTTTGTAGCATTAATCAATAAACCTCGGAAATTTTTAACACTATTTTCACATTTGCCACTACTCTTCAATATTCCCTTCACTCAATAAGATTCGGTAACTTGCTGCTCAGGACAGTTTGGTGGATTAACATCCTATGGAACAAAATAGACTCTTTTTTTCTTATACTACTTACTTTTTTGGAAAAGTTAATCAATGCCAGATCTGGCCAAAATAAAGTTGATTATTTGTGCTTTTTAATAAGATGAAGAAGTCGTTTGTTTGTGCTTTTTAATTGGAGGTAGAAGTCGTTTTTTCAAGCATTCACTCACATATAGATCTGGTGTCAAAAATTGATTTATTATGAAAGGTGAGCTTTTAAAACCTCAACTGCAAATTGACTGCCGTACAAGAAACTCGAAAGTGATTTTCTTACTCAAATGTACTTAAATTTGTCAAAAGCTTTATAACGTTTCGACCTATAATAGTATTGATTATCTGAAAGCATCGAGAAATCTTTTTTAAAGTAAGTTTCATCGTCTTCTAAAATGCATAAAATTTTTTTCGTAATTAATTTAAGCACATTTTTACCTAATCCAAATGCTTTGATTTCTTTAGCAAGCGACCTATTTGGCTTTTTTTTTTTTTGTAATATTCTTTCAAATTTTCTTTTTTGAATACTCTTCGAACGAAAGATTTATTGCATTTAAACTTTGTTGCTAAATCTTGTTGTAACTGAGTCGTTTTTTGATGAATAGAGTCGAGTAGTAATTTTGCATTCTTTTTGGAAATAAAATCTTGATTTTCCACCACTCCCCGATTTTATTTTACAGTTTTGTTTTCCTTATAACATTTTATAATAATTTTAACAGTTGATTTTGGAACTTTATATGCTTTTGAAATCATGGAATATGAGAACGATGGATTTTTCTATGTAAAATTTCAAATTTTTTTTCGATTTTCTGACTCTTTACTCAACATTGCAAAAACTAATGAGAAGTAAACAAAACTACACTCACATACAAGAAAACTAATTATGTTAAAAAAAATCATAACAATTGATTAAGTGGTTTTTGAGAAAAATTATCCGAATTTCAACTGATCATGGTGATAAACTTTTTAGAAATATTGACCAAATAAAGTCAAAAGCATATTTTAAGCAAACTTAAAAATAGTACAAAGTACATACAGATGACTCAGCGCCAAACAAGCCTATACAAAGAATATGTTGAAATGAGATAATTAGACACAAAGTTTAAAAGTTTTTAACAAAAGCCACTAAACGAAATAAAAATTGCAGTTCAGTGCACTTGAAAATTTCAATTATAGTATATGATTGTTTGCCAAGAAACACAAACAAATCGTTTTTTAATATAAACTAATTTTTTTTTTTTTTTTTTTTAACTGTATTGTATGGCGCTTAACTTACTTTCTAATGGGTATTTCACTTTTTGTTTACTAGCTTATTATTATTTTTTGTTCAGAATTGATGATAAAATAAGTAAACTTATTGCTATAATAAAAAAAATATATATCATTTAACATAATATGTAAAGAATCAGGCAGAGCTTAATAGTGACCCTCGTCGAAATTTTTTTTTTATTGTTTTGCTATTTATTTTAAAAAGACAAAATATTTTTCAAAAAATACTTATTTGTTCTTTAGATATCGAACGTTAAACTTAGAGTTTTTTGAAATGCTGACCAAATGGTGTCAAACGCATTTTCAAGCTTGAAATTAGTACGAAGTCCATGCTTTTCCCATGGTTATTTTATTATTATATACTAGCTAGTAGTATTAGTATTGTTGTAACTTGTGTGAGCCAGTAAGTGGGGTATTAACACACTATGACAGCTGATTTACTTGATTGCTGCTTATTCAGCAATCAAGACCTATTTTAAAACTATTCGGTAAATTGGTTGATCTATTAAATAAAAAGTTTTCATGACACGCTTAGTAATTTCTTTGACATATTTAAAGTGGTGACCTCTTGTTTGAGTTTGTTGAAAACTAATTTTTTTTATTGTTTCCAAATCATTGAAACCGTTAAAAAATTTAAAAAGTTAAATCATATCTCTTATTTGTCAAGGTAGTCAAGTCGATAGCTTTTAGACGATTCTAATTGTTGATTTTCTTTAGCAATAGTAATAATAGAGTTGCAAGATGTTGGACTCTTTCTAATAAATCAATTTCACCCTTTCTAGTAGATGACCAAACTGGTACTGCAAACTCTAACAGTGGTCGCACAAAAAAAACATAAAGTATTATCAGAAGTCGAATATTTATAATAAACGAAGCATTTTCTAATCCGACTCAATATTTAGTTGGCCTTGCCTACGCATTTTATTACTTGAATTTTTCATTTCAGATTGCTTGAGAAAATTACTGCAAGATCACTTTCAGATTCTGTTATGTTTAACTTTTGTTCATTGAGTTACTTTTTGTTATTTTGGCCAAAGTGCATGACCATACATTTCAAAATACTAAATTTCACAAGCCATTCTTGAGTCCACTTAAATGCTAAATCGAGATCTGATTGTAAGGAAAGGGTTGATGCACAGGAAAGCATTTCATTCAAAATTTTGGTGTCATCGGCATACAGCTTGGTTACGTTTTTTAGAAATTCAGGCAAGTTGTTTATTAATAGCACAAATAAGATTGGTTTATTTACTAACCCCTGTGGCACACCACTTGCGATTTCTGCCCAAAAGGATTCATTTTTGTCTAACACAACTCTTTGTTTTCTTTCTTTTAAAAAGACTTCAATCCACTGTATTGTCAGATAATCCATAAGCTGTTGGTTTAAGCAACCTTTCAAGTTAAGACCTAAAATATAATAAACTGTAAATAGCAGACATATTGTTAGTCTAAATATCATGCTTCAAACGCAAAGTTTGCAAAAATTAATAATCTTAACATATTTGTCATAGTCCAGACTCAAGAGAACAAATAAATTTTTTTTTAAAAAAGTTTGCTCTATTTACTTAATAATCATTATCACTTATTATTTTAAGTTCTAAAGCAATAATCAAGTAAATTCCCTTAGGGGCTGTCCATTAATTACGTCAACAAATTTATTGAATTTTTCACCTCCCCCTTGTCAACAATTTGTCAATTTTCCAGAGACCCCCCTAAAAAATTACGTCAATTTTTGATTACCACCAAACCTTCTTTACATAGAAGTTACGCTACAAACTCAGCCAAATTTTCCGTTATTAAAGCAATAAAACTCAAAAAAAAAAAACTGTTTACATCAACTTTAATTGACCTTTCCCCTCCCCCTTGTTAACAATTGTCAAAAAAGTTCAGACCCCCTCCCCCCTATTTTGTTGACGTAATTAATGGACAACCCCTTAGAAACAAAATTTGTTCTTTTTTGAACAAATTTGTTCTATTTTTAAGCTTAAAAATGCTTTAGACTACATTTAGTCAATATTCATAAAATATTTGTTAGTCTTATAAATCTAATATCAAGATTACCATTTTAAAAAATACTTTTTTATAGTTTACTTTTAAGTTCTAATAGCATTAGCATACTTAAAAAAAAGCAATTTCGAAGAGACTCACTATTGTGGTCTGGCTTATTCCTACATAAAGTTTCAAATTCAAATAACCTTTTAATGTTCGAAAGTTATAACCATCTAAAATTTATAATTTCTTTATTTTGGGGAGGGTGTTGTCATGCATGAAATATCAATAAATCCTGTCTACGCCAAATAAAATTTTATTGTGGCTTTTCTTATATATACTATTTAAATTCAATGTCTTATTAATTATTATTAAACCCACATGTGTTAGAAAATATATGTCAAGATACTATAATATAATACCTCTTTAAACACATTGGAGCACCTCAATAAAACCCGCTAGTAGCTTAAATGCTCAAAAAAAAAGCAAAAGCTGTATAATCAGTTTCTTAAAAATAAAAACACAAAAAATATAAAAATTACAAAAAGTATAAATAATTTTACAAAACATTAATAAAAAATGCAAAAAAAGTTTTTAAAGTATTATACATTACATCTTTACTACTTAAGAGAATTAATATTGATAACACTGATATAACTTGTCAAAATTTAATCTCAAAAAAGCTCAACAAAAATTTCAAAAATGTTGGCCCAAATCATGCTAATATAATAACACCAACATTTGAATCATTTAAATCTACCTAAAGCCGTTAACTGACAAAATATTGTACGACAATGAATATATATATATATATATATATATATATATATATATATATATATATATATATATATATATATATATATATATATATATATATTCATATAATGAATTTGAAACAGTATTTTCTTCTTTTAAAAGATATATATATCCTCAGGATATGATAAAATTTTTAATAACGTAGTTATTTTTAACCAATTAGTTTACACAAACCTTCATATACTAAAACTTTCACTTTTTTAAAATAGTTTGTTTCTTTTCCTGGGTTCTAGGAAAAAATCCCCCCGGAAAATATCCCCCTAAAAATTTTTTTTTTTACTTAAAAATTATCAATATATAGTTATGTTTATTTTTTTATTTATTTTAAATATTTATATAAAACACTTCATTTTTCATCAAAATGTCAAGTTATTTGCTATTCCTCGAAGGAGCCAATGTGAAACCCAAACCCTGACGAATTGCGAGCTGGTAAAATGTAAACTTTTTTGCGAACCATCGTAGTTAATTTAGCGGTATATTTTAAGCAAAAAAGTTATTAAAAAAAAAAATAAAAGGAAATTAAGTGAAACTAGACGAGTACAATATGAATATATATATATATATATATATATATATATATATATATATATATATATATATATATATATATATATATATATATATATATATATATATATATATATATATATATATATATATATATATATATATATATGCCCAAACCAAACCCTTAGTCGATGTAGCAGCCCCTCGTTGTAGCAACACTCCGCGCATGTGTTACAGTTAAGAAACAAAAATTTTATTTTAAATAATAGATAAAAAATATTTTAAAATAGATAATTAAGAATTAGAGAGTTTTTTTATTATTATTTTTATCATAAAAATAATGGTCTTTAAAAGATAATGTTCTATTTCGCAAAAAAGTTCGCATTTTACCGGTTAGCAGCTCGCGGTGCGCAGCTTTTTACCGACATTTTGATGAAAAATGAATAATATTTTTATAAAACTATTTTAAATAAATATAACTATTTTATTAATATTTTTTTTTTAAATAAAAAAAAAAAATTTATGGAGGGGGGGGGTATTTTCCGGAGGGATTTTTTCTCGGGGGGACTTTTTCCGGGGGGGATTTTTTCTCGGGGGGATTATTTCAGGGGGATTTTTCAGAGGGGATTTTTTCCTGGGGGATTTTTTCCTGCTACTATTTTCCTAATGCTCTTAAAATATTTAATTAAATCCCAATATATACGAATGCAACGATCATTTTGACATAACCAATGATAGACCAACATTTGGCAATTTATATTTTAAAACCAATTTAAATTACGGTTATTTTGATCATTGCGGTGAACTAACGCGTTTTTATTCAAAGCAAAAAAGTTCATAAATACATTAACGTTTAAAAATTAAAAACGGATATGAAGATAATATCTGAGTTACTTGAAAAACAGAAGAATGATATTATAGAAGTAACAAGAAAGCTATTAAAAGATCTTAAAAAAGTATTCACTTCAATAATAGCAGCAAATGAAAATACTTACTGAGTGGTTAGGAAAGAAAAAGTTGGCAGCGAAAACTCAACTAAAATCAATTCTATCCTTCCTACGTTTTCAAAAATATTAGAAAAAAATATCTTCGAAAAAACATACAACTACCTGATTTCAAATAATTTACTATATAAAAATCAGTTCGGCTTTAAAAAAAAAAGTTCAACTGAACAAGCCATTATTCAATTTACACGTGAAGTCTCAAACTCTTTTGCTAAATCACAAAATACACTTGGTGTTTTTGTCGATTTATCAAAGACTTTTGATACAGTCAATCGTGATATCTTACTTAAAAAACTTGAGTTCTACGGAATAACTGGTAAAATGATCAAATGGTGTAAAAGCTACTTGTCAAATAGAAAGCAATTCGTCTACCACGGAGAAGAATTGCTTCCTATTAATCTTCAAAATAAAACATTAATTGAAATAAAATGTGATGTTCCACAGGGTTCTATCCTTGGTCCACTTCTCTTTTTAGTATACGTCAACGATCTAAATAAGGCCTCGAATCTTATAAGCATCATGTTTGCCGACGATACCAATTTATTTTTATCAAACAAAGACATTAACAAACTTTTTTTTAGATATGAATAAAGAACTTAATTAAGTTTCTAATTGGTTTAAATGCAATAAATTAACCTTAAATATTGACAAAACAAAGTGGATCCTTTTCCACTCCTCAACAAAAAAAGCTTTTTGCCTTATGATTTACCTAAACTTTATATTGACGAAGTAGAAATAAAAAAAGATTCCGTTTTAAAATTCCTAGGTATTTATCTTGACGAAAATATGACATGGAAAGCTCATATTGATTATATATCAACAAAAGTTGCGAAAAGTATTGGTATCCTCTATAAGGCCAGAAATTATCTAAATAAAAATACTTTAAAACAACTATACTACTCATTTATTCATAGCTACATAAACTATGCAAATATTACCTGAAGAAATACAGGTAAAAGTAAGTTGCAACGTCTTTACCGCCATCAGAAACATGCAATGCGAATAATATATTTTTTAAATCGTTTTTCAAATACAAAACCTCTATTTAAAGATATAAATGTAATACATAAACGTTTATTACAGTATTAAACGTTTATGAACTTAACTTGTACAATATTTTATGTTTTACATTATGTTGTATAAATAACCCCTATTTCATGTTTTTATAGATCTATTTACCTTTAAAGTAAAGAATAAATGTAGTTTGCAAAATAATAACTATTTAAAAGAACCCTTTTGTCAAACAAAGTTTAATTAATTTGGTATAGATTATCGAGCACCTTATACCTGGAATAAAATTGTACAGCCTAATTTAGATTCATCTATCTCTTTTTAAAAACAAGTCAAAGAATATTATTTTTTCTACGGATAATATATTGAAATATTTTTGAGATATTATTTTAACTACACTGTAAATCTAAAGGGTTCTTCAAGGTTCTGCGGCGGTTCCTCTCAGAACCTTGAGGTTCTTAGAGCCGACTTAAAGAAACCGTGGGTACTTCATGTTGCTAAATGATTCTATAACTATATAGAAGCGGCTAATTTTTTAAAGGAAGTTTGAAGAACCTTTAAGGTTCTTCGCTTAAATTGTTAGATATTTTAGTCTTAAGGTTTTTCAAAAGGTTCTTCAAAAACTTTTTTTTTTTCTTTTTTAATACTCCATTTTGTTTTTCGATATATTTTTTTTACCCAGCATGTTAGTTGATTACAACGTGGATTTATAAACTTGACTAAACGTTTAAACATGAATTTTGAAACAAAATGATATACTACCAACAGTTGTTAGCTTAACATATGATTTTATTTTATCAAGTACTAAAATTAATTTTAGATACCTTATGAATTTTGGATCCAAACAATGTGTGGATCCAAAATTCATAAGGTAAAATGAAAAACCATATATTCATGAGGGAAAATGTTTGAAACTATTACAAAACGTAATTTATACTAATTGTACTAAATTTATTGTAATTTGTACTAATTGTGGTAATCATTAATGATTACTATTTGTCTAACTATGTTTTAAAATATAATGTTGAGATCATTGTACAGAATCCAAATATCATACTGGCAGTATGATATTTAGATTTTATGCAATGATCCCAGCATTATATTTCAAAACAGTATTACTGCATCTAAAATTAATTTTAGTAATTTAATTTGAATACAATGACAATGCATTAGCTATATTTTGTCATATAAGTTAATTCAAATTTGAAGTACAATTATCCTTAAATTTTTAGTTTAAATTTGGAATGATGAATTGGTCAATTGAAGAAGTTTGTTCGCATTTAGAGCAGGAAGGTCTTGGTGATTTAAAAGAAAAAATTGTTGGTTAAATAATGCATTTTGAGTTTTTAAATGTTTGTTTAGTAATAATTATACTGATATTAAATCTATATTATTTTTGTATTTAGCAAATAATATTTTTTGAAATGGCTGCATCTAATAATAACTTGTGTTTTACTTGTTGTACATGTGGCGCGCAGAAGTATTCTGTGCAAAAATATTTACAACATTTGTATATCATGCATGAACATACCCCTGGTTTTTTCCCATTGTGTAATATTAGTAGTTGTCCTGCCAAATATAAATCTGTAAAATGTTTACGTCACCATATGCACAAAAAGCATAGTTTCATTTTTAGCACACCTCAAATATTAACAAATGAGCCTGATAATATTAGTGAAACAATAGAAAACCAAATTTTAGCAGACAGTAATGGGGATAACACCATATCTGAGTTTGTGATAGTTTCTACCACTAACAACTGCAGTCAAGCAAGTTGTAGTTTGGATTCTAATATAGGTGCCATATCCTCGCTAGACAGTCTACTCAGTTATTTGCAGAAACATTACGCTATGTTTGTAGTTGCAATAGCAGAAAAACATTCGATTCCGTCTGTTGTTCAAATTGATTTAGCAAAGGAAGTTCAATCTTTGTTGACATATTTTAATCATACTTTTTGTGATCTAGTAAAACAGCAACTTGGGGAAGACCTTGTTAATAATAGTGATTTATATCAACTTTGAAATAGTGATTTGATTGTAGATAAAATTTTATCTGTGGTCAATTCTAACAAAAAGGTTATATCATTTTGTAAGTCAAACTTAGGTCTTATTTTGCCAGTTGAAATAAATTCACACTACATAAATGAAAACCAACGTGAATATGGTTTAAAAAAAAAAAGCTGTAAAACTTTTCAGTATGTGCCCATTTTGCCATTATTAAAAAAGTTAGTCGAAAATGAGCTTATCTGGCATTCAATAAAACGAAAACTTGAAAAAGATGAGTCAATTAATAAAGACTTGCTATATTCATATTCAGATGGTTTAAATTGTAAACAACATGTCATTTTTAAAAACAAGAATGCATTAAGAATTCATTTATATTGTGACCATTTATACGGTGTTGATAAACGCTGTCCTTTATTAGATTTACCTTACTTTAATGTTTTACAGTCTTTTCCTCCAGGCATCATGCATGATATGTTAGAAGGAGCAGTTCCACAATTAATAAAATTAATTTTGTTAAAATTTAAAGCACTTGATATATTTACAGTAGAACAGATTAACACAGAGCTTAACATTTTTGAATTTGGCAGAAATGACAGCAAAAACAAACCAGTACCATTTGTTATTCGTACTGGTGCGTCTATTAACTTTATTGGTTCAGCGTCACAGAAGTTTTGTATGTTTCGGTTACTACCGTTTATGATTGGTAATCGCATACCAATATCTAATGTGTAATGGTTACTGTACTTGCAGCTGTGAGATATTGCTGATTACGTACTCGCTCCAAAAATTTCAAAAACTGCTTTATCATATCTTCAATTTTTAGTGGAGCACTTTTTGCAAAATTTTATTGAACTTTTTCCTGATAATTTAACACCCAAGTTTCATTTCATGCTCCATTATGCTTGTCTGATTAATGAAAATGGACCCCTGAGATATTTATGGTGCATGCGTTTTGAAGCTAAACATTTGTACTTCAAAAAGTTAGCTTCTTGCATTAGAAATTTTAAAAATATAGGTTTTTCTCTTGCAAAGCGACATCAGCTGAGACAGTGTTGGGAGATGGCACCTTCTGATTTTTTAAATGAAAAGTATGAAACATCTAATCTATTTTCAGTTAACTTTGATAGTTTAGCAACTTGTCTTCAAGAAAAGTTGCTGTCTTTTAATGACATTATTGATAAAAAGGAAACAGTTTGGAAGTGTAATGCCATTGCAATAAATAGAATCCAATTTCATGTTCATGATACCGTTATTTTAGCTTTACTTCATGCAGAAAAAATTCCTTTATTTTCCAAAATTTATAATATTATTCAATTTCGCCAACACTGGGTATTTTGTGGTATGTTGCTAATTTGTGACAAATATAATGAGCACTTGCATGCGTTCATGTTATCGAAGACGAAACCGTGTCAATATGCTTGCCAACAAAAGTTTGTGATTATCAACTTCTAGACACATATGCAATACAAGATGGCAACTCTTATATTACGCTCAAATATTTGTGTTTTAAATAAAATAAATAAATTCTAAAAGGTTTTTTTGCTTTTGATATAATCTGCTGCACAAAAAAAGCACACAATATATATGTCAAATTTGTTGATCAAGCGATTCGCAAACAATAATATTGATAGAAAAATGTAGTCAATAATTACTATTAATAACTTTACTATTAGTACTCTAGATTTAATAATGATAATAAAGATAATAAAATGATAATGATAATAAAAATAATGTTGTAAACATGACAAAATTATTTTCATAATAACAACAAACATGACAGAAGTTCATAAAATCTCTATAATTTTAACTTAGCAAATATAATATTTCAGTTATTTCTACTGTACTTTTATCAATTTATAGATTATTCGCAACATTAAGTTTGTTGAAAATTGTTAAAATATAAATATAAAATTGCCCAATGGTATTGTGATATTTTTTTCAATAACGATCAAGTAAAGATGTTTAACCCTAAAGCTTAAAATTAAATTATAGTTGGATATTTATAACGATGTTTAACGCTCATGTTAATAACAATTTACTTTTAATGTAGAAGAAGAAATTGATGGAAAAACATTGTTGAGTTTAATGGAAACAATGGTTTCAAATTTGTGTGTAACAATGCGAAAGCAAGTTATGTTGTTGGAAATAATAAAGAATCTTCAAGCACCGCCTGCACAACAAGTTAATTTAAAGTAAGTTTTGATACAGTTTAAATTCCTTAACAAAATTAACAAATAACTTTTTGCTAACATAAAAATGTTGTGTTTATTAGTGTGTCTAAACTTGGTATACTTCAGAGTAGTGCATTAGAAGTGTGTTACACTGGTGCTAGGAATATTTTAGTAGGATCCATTAGAACTACGACACCATGGCCAGTTCAGTATCAACTACCTATTTTACCACCAGCAGTTGTTAGAGCTTTGGAATTTAAAGACTGTTGCTTTCTGCAGTATAGGAGGAACAGCTGCAGGAACCAATCATACAATTGATACCAATTGATACAATGTTTATATGATGACATCAACAAATTTACATTGTAAGAGTGTTTTTTATTGAAATATACTATAAAAATCTCTGTGTTTGTGTTTGTTTTGATGTTGTTTTTATCATTAATTTGTGTGTTAATGTTATTTTTACCTTTATAAAAAGATAAAATACCCCATTCATATAGGCAATAAAACACATAAACACCTAATAATGTTGTTACTGTAACTTTTACAAATTTACAATAAAAAAATATTGTGAGGTTGCTGTGTCACTGTTTAAGTTTTATTTAAAGGTATCCATTCAGTACCCAATATTCAGATGTGTTTGCCACCATATGTAGCAAGTATCCATATTTAAATGACTTCCCTTCAAGGACTGGTAGTTTATCACATCAATACCTACTATTGGTAAGTTGTTTGGTGAGGATGATTTAACTGTAGCAAAACATCATCTGGATATGTTAATGGAATATCGTAAACTTCGTCCAGACATGAATATGCTAATTGATCGCCAAAAATGTAGTTGGTTTGTGCGAGCAACGGATTTTGATGGTCGATTTCGTACAGTCGATCTAAAAGCTAAATACCCATGGCTCTGCTGAATTGGTATGCTTTTAACTGTTCTCTTTATTTTATTTTTTGTGTTTTAACTCAAAAATAATTTTTATTATAATGATATTAAAGCTTCTTAGATAAAGAGCTTCATCAATGGATGAAGGGTATGGAAGATAAAATCTTAACCTTGATGAAAGTAAAGACAGTTTTCTTTCTGAAATATTTGCTGAAATTGAGCGTGAAATTGATGAAAGCACTAAAAAAGGTAATAAAATTTGAGTACTGTCAACTCTCGATTTCTCGAACCTCCTTGGGACCAAGAAGTTAGTTAGAGATGTTTGAGTTATCAAGAGTATAATCCATAAATTAGGGTTCAATAGGAATCAAAAAAAGTTTGAGGTACTCAAACTTTTTTATATCGAGATATCTCGAGTATTCGAGATATCTTGAATACTCGAAATATCGAGTATTCGAGATATCGAGAGTTCATTGTATTACAAAAAGTTTCTGTTTTTCGTAGCTAAATAATTTTTATGTTTTTTTTTTGCTGAATTGTATTTTCTATTTCTGTTTTTATGGTTCTGTTATTTTACTATTTTAGATGCTACATTAAATGGAGCTATTCTAATGTTGCCACGGTTATTCAAAGAGTCTGTTGAAGCCTTGGTTACTTTTGATAACACCCCAACGCTGAATACACCTACTGTTGCAATCCCCCGAGGTCAAAAGCTGACATCAAAATTTTGTTGTGTTATAATAGATGGCCAAGAAATAGTTGAACATCATAATGATGTTGATATCTCGTTAGGGATGGCTTGTATATTTGCCTCCTATTTTGTTTACAATATAAAATACCCGGTTCAATTAAAAAACACCTTATTATTTTATGAGCACATCATATTTGGCGTATCAAACAAAGAAATCCCTGTAACAAATCGCAAAATGGCAAATACTTTGTACGAGGTTGATGTTGATTTATTTTTAACTTTTTTATATCAACTCTATGTTATTTTTTAATTTCAGTTTTTTAAGTCATTTTATTAATTTAAATATGAAACCTAAATAAATGCCTAACATAAACTTATAAAATCTTTATCTTAATTCTCGCACAAAAATATGTATATGTTTGTATAAGTTGAAGTTGATTCCCTATATAATACTTATATAGGGAGTCCCTATATAAGTATTATATAGGGACTCTACTGTGTTTATATATATATATATATATATATATATATATATATATATATATATATATATATATATATATATATATATATATATATATATATATATATATATATATATATATATATATATATATCATTGGGCATACAGTAAATACCAAAAATTAAATACCGATAATTTCCTAACGAAGCTACAGGTTGCAAAAAAGAGATTCTTAACAGATCGGCGTAGGTTAATATTAAAATTAATGGAAGTATATATATATATATATATATATATATATATATATATATATATATATATATATATATATATATATATATATATATATATATATATATATATATATTAATTATATTTTTTTATATATCATCAAATGTTTGTTTAGATTTAGCTAGTTTTACAAGGGAATCTTAATTATACAAATCTTTAATGGATTTTCACGAGTTTTATCAATATCACAGATATCAATATTCACAGATTTTCAATCATCAATAGAATCTGCGAAAACGAGCATATGAAAGACGCGATACGGTTCAGATTAAACTGTAGTTTAAAAATAAAGCAATTTTTGTAAATTATTTTGTAATTTTTGTTTTTCTTGTAACATATGCGCTTCGTTAATCTAGTCGTTGTTTGATTCCTTATTTTGCATCAAAACTTAACGATATATCATTTTTATCCCGTGATTTTTACTATTTGGATCAACTTAATTAAAAAAGTTTAACACATAATAAGTTGTAATAAAATTAATAGTCTAAAAACTATCAATTATTATTCTTTAATTAGTTTTTTTTTCAGAAATTTATTTCAAAATTTGTGTACTGAACATCTATTTTGTCAGTCAGATGTCTTGAATCTGAAGTATTTCTTTAAAAAAGAGGTTATTTTTATGGTTCTTCGAAGAGCCTCTCTGGATGATTTATCGGAACTCTCAAGAACCCTTAGGTTCTTCAAAAAACCGATTAGGGTTCTTTAGAGAATCTTACGGTACGGTTCTTCCGAAGAACCCCTACAAAAGGTTCTTTAAAGAACCTCTACGGGTTCTCCCTCAGCACCAACTTCAAGAACCATTTAAGGTTCTTTAATGAACCATTCGGCTGTACAGTGTATTTCTTATTTCAATGTTTTTGGATTCTTATTTTGTTATAAACTACCTGTATTATATTATATTTATATTGTAATTTTTGTATGGTTCTGGCGACAAGATCAGTATGATCTTCTTCCAGATTCCATGTTTATATGTTTATATTACATGAAAATCACGACATGTAAATAATGTAAACTAAAAAAAAATTAAATTGCAAAAGAATTAGAAACAACAAATAAAAAAGTATGTCTCTTGCAGCTGATTGCACCGATGTTATTAAAGCTATTCAAACTAATGAGGAGATTATTACGGATAAATTTGAATTTGTAAAGAAAAAACCGAAAGAGTTGAGCATTAAAATAAAAGACAATAGGGAAATACTTAAAATAAAAAATAAATTTAGAGAAATTGAAAATCGCTCACGAAGGAACAACCTAAGATTAGAAGGTATAAAAAAAAAACGAAATTGAAAATTGGAGCGTCATTGAATCCAAGGTGCAGATGCTCTTTAAAAATTTACTTAAGTATATCTTCAAAGAGCATCTGCACCTTGAGTTCATTGACGCTCCAATTTTCAGATGCAGATGCTCTTTGAAGATATACTTAAATATATCTTCAAAGAGCATCGGCATTTTGGATTTATTGACGCTTCAATTTTCATTTTCGTTTTCCGTTATGTTTTCTATTCTTAGGTTGTTCCTTCGTGAACGATCTCTAAGTTTTCTCTAAGTTTACTTATTATTATAAGTATTTCGCTAATGTCTTTCATTTTAATGGTTAACTCTTTCGTTTTTTAAACCAATATTGGTTTTTCAAACCAATATTGTATTTTATTTTTATTGCTTAAATTCTTTTTTTAAAACAAATTTATTATCTAATTTTAATGCTAAAAATAACACATTCAATGATAATGACATGAATAAAATCAAAGCTTTCCTAATAAACAAAAGTATAATTTTAGAAAACAACCCTGAATCAAATATTAGCTTTTTTAAGGGATGAGGAATTTTATAATGGGAAGGGATGGAAAATATAAGCTCTTATTATTACAGTTCAAACGTTTTAACACTAACTGCTAACATAGATGATAATGCACTATCCATCCTGCATCTAAATATAAAAATATACAAAAAAAAATTTGATAAACTTAAGGAATTTTTATTTAGCGTCAAAATAAATTTTCAAACTACATGCCTAACAGAAATATGGTGCCAGAATAAAGAAATTAAAAATAACTCCAAATTAACAATTATAAAGTTATTCATTAAATAAGAGGATCTAAAAAAGCAGGAGGAGGAGTGTGCATTTTCATACACAACTCTTTAGATTTTAAACTTCGTAATGAGTTGTGCTCAATAACAAAAGATTATGAGTTATTAACCATTGAGGTATTAAACAACACCAGCAAAAACATAATTTTGCTCGTCATATATGACGTGCAAAATTATATTACTTGATTTCATATTAAATTATATTACCTGAAGTTATATTACCTTATTTCAGATAATATAAAAGCATTTAACAAACACTTTAAATGTTTAATTACAAAAAATGATATTTGTGGCAAACTAATTTATTTTGTGGGCGATCTCAATTTTGACTTATTGGTCAAAAATTTATTATATGACTCGATTATGAAAAAAATAAGAGAGTCAGAAATTTTAACTATATTATAATTCAAAATGGTTTTACTCCAACAATTAACAAACCAACACGCATAACAAAAAAAAGTGCTACATTAATTGATCAAATCATAATTAACGATTTCGAAAACATAAAAGTTAAGACTGGAATATTTGTCACTAACATTTCAGACCACCTTCCAGGGTTTATAATTTCACATTAATAAAATATCATGAAAATATAAAATTAAAAAGCGAATAATTAACGATTCATCCATAATCACTTTTATCAAACTGTTATCCACAACAAATTGGGAAACTATTTTAAAAATAAAAAATTGCAGAGGAAGCTTATGATTATCATATTTCAAAGCCATTATAATGAAGTTTTCCCAATTATTAGTAAATTTATCAAAATCAAATCCCAGCAAAATCCATGGATAACAACGGGAATAATAAAGTTATCAAAAAAAATACAACGCTTATACGAAAAGTTTATCAAAAACAGAACTTATGAAAACGAAACAAAATATAAAATTTACAAACGGCTCTTCGAAACAGTAATAAAGTATTCAAAAAGCCAGTATTATACAAATCAATTACTTAACTGCAAAAATGATGTACAAAAAATGTGGCGCATAATGAAAGAGGTAATTGGTAAAAAAAAGCATAAACACTAAACGATTTTCCAAAAAACTCATAAATAATCGTAATTTTACTAATGATTCTTTAATCGCTAATTGTTTTTTTTTGTTTTTTTTTTTAAGTTGATTAAGGTGCCCCAAGAAGTCCTTACGGTCTTAGCACAGAGTACCGCGGAAGAGCATTTAACAGGAAGTTCACGCCTCCTTCCCAACCGATGTCGCAAAACTTGCCCAGAGGTGGGGTTTGAACCAAGGATCTTACGTTTCTGAGGCAAGTGCGCTACCACTGTGCCATGGCTGTTTCAATCATGCTTTTGTTATTACGGGCCAAATTTTAGCCTCAAAAATAATATATAGTAAAACTAGCTTTGAATCATACTTAACCTCTAATAATACTGTTTTCAAAAATAATAAGTTATCTGAAAAAGAACTACTTGATGCTGTAAATTTATTAAAATCAAATAAGGTTAATGGAGTTGATGTTGTAACCCAGACAGCCTCCCGCTAGCGGTTCAGTTCCGCTTGCGACTACGGTGCGATGACGGCTGTCGATCACGGGCCTGCATCGAAACGGCCATTGGGCTAGCACTGGCCCGCTGCCATGGGCCAGCATTGGCCCGCAATCGTTCGCCAGCACTGGCCTGCGATCGTTTGCCAGCACTGGCTCGGGATCATTTGCCAGCACTGACCCGCGATCGCTTACCAGCACTGGCCCATTAGCTAATTCCAGTATTGATCTGTGATCATTTTCCAACATTTGTTCGTGGTCGCGTGTCATTACTAAAGCGTTACTTTTTATTAATACATTAGGACGTTATTATTAGCTGATTCTGTACAAATGTACAGAAATAGCTATGAATCAAAAAATATCCCGCATGAATCAAACAAATAAGTTTCTATCGAAAAAAATAAATAAGTATTTTCGAAATTTATTCCCAACCAAAAGTGAGTTAAAAAATAATGAAATAAAAAATAAAAAAATGTTATTAAAAGTTCAAATTGTTATTTATGCAAATAACTTTTTATATAAAGAACGTTCCTCTCGAGCTTTTGTCCGACATTTCGATCCCCGAAAAGCAAAAAATATCTCTTCAGTTAATGTTTAAACTCTTCTCCTAATGCTCCTGAGGTTAAAGTTTTTATTTTCAAAGCATCTAAATAACACAAAGTTAAACTATGTGTGAAAAAAAGATAAACAATTCAACTAAAATGTATGATTGAAATGTACATTACATTTACATATATAAACGTTAGGATAATTGAAAAAACATCTTTTTAAAAAAAATTCTGCACCTCAACCCTATTGTATTTAATAAAATAACACTAGATAAAAAATTTAAAACAATATTTAAACATAAGACAAGTTCATATTATCATCGAAAAAAAAAATTATATAAAAATAACTCCAAGAGTAAATTGCAAGATTACTATTAACCAATGCAATGAAGTGTTTTTTTGCTCACATTCGCAAGAAACCATCTTACAGATAAACATCTATTGGATGTCACTTAAGACCCCAATAACTAAAATAACAAAAAATTAACAATAATGAAACAGTTAAATTCAGTTTACTAATGCTTACTATGTGCTTCAATTTTAGCATTAGATGCAACTGATGATACATTACTGATTTAGGGAGCTATGAGTGCTTTAATTCATCCAGCAACTGATCAGCACACAAATAAGTTGATATCATCTCAATAGGCAACAACAAAATATTTTTATTTTTCTTCAGTCGAAGCACATTTTTTAGAATTAAAGCGCTAAAAATAAATTAAGAAACTGTCACCTGATAAAGCATTCTTTTAAATAAATTCTTCATTAAAAAAAACTTTCTAGTCAATGAAATACAATACTATAGAAGTGGATGGGTCTCCATCCCATCAGTTGTCTAGCTCATTGCTTTCGAAAAAAGTATGTTCATCAATTTAACTTGATAAATTTTGATGCATGTTTGTGTCTTATTTACATAAACTAACTAAAAGATTGTTTCAGAACATATTGAAATTCAGTTAAAAAAATAAAAAAGAATATTCAAATGAAAAAAGTATAAAAATACATCCATTTCTAAAACTTCAGTAGCAGAGCCTAGTTTTAAAAAGTTATTTATTTTTAAAAAATGTGAAGAAGTCAAATTTTATTAACATAAAAATGTTAAAGGAGGAATAGCACGGGCTGGAATAAGTGTCTTTTTTTTTATTATTTACGACTTTTTTTTTTCAGTAACTGTGGAGTGTCAGTTTCTGAACTTAAATATACAAATTTGTGATAATATGCATTTCTATAAAATACTGAAAGTGAACGAACATCATGATATGATGGTCACCATCTAACTTACATATGCTCATCATTATCACGTGTATCATATCATCATGATCATCACCTGGTAGGACAAAGACTTTTCTGAAATCTGTTTGTTTACTTCTAAATTTATCCCGGTTTTACTGTCACTGATTGAAAAAAAGTCTGAATAAACTTTTGCCATAAGTAATTTTTCTCTGGTTTAGTCATATGTAACTAAAAAAAATCGAAATAGTAAAAAAATGTTAGAAAAATACTTCAAAATAAAAAACAAACAAAAAAATTATATACTATAGAAAAAATATATATTTGTAAAAATATACATAAAACTACTAACCAGAGTTATACAAAATATTTTTATCATAATCAATCTAACCATTCATATAATCTTTACCTTTTTTAATAGTAAATGTGGTGAGTCTTAAAGACCATCCACAAATACCATTTGTTATCTAACTAAAAAAATTAAAAAAAAAAATCAAACAAATTAACAAAAGAAAAAAAGAAACAAGAAAAGAAAAAGGAAAGAAAAAAAAAACCAAAGTTAAAAGAAAAAATACATTTGAAAATGGAAACCAATTAAAAAGGATTTAAAATAAAATATAAAAATTGCCCTTTTGTAAGAAAGAAAAAAGAATATTTTTTTAATTTTATTATTTTGGAGTGACGAGATTGCGCTTTCAAGTCATTTGTTATTTGATACACTTAGTAAGTTAAGTTATTTGATACACTTAGAAGTGTATCAAATACGTCCGAAACATTCAATTAAACATATTTAAACGCAACGAGATTCATAAAAACGTTTTTCTACTAATATACTATAAATGAAGTTAGCATAAAATGGTAATATATTTTAATTTCTTATTTATAAAATTTTGATCGTAATGTATTGTGTGACAATAGTATAGAAAAAGATTACACATGAGGGATATAATACTTTAGGTAATAAAAATAACAATCGTTTGCAATATTTTAGAAGCCTGCATAGGGGGAATGTGATATTTTAAGTAAGAATTCCAATTTCTTTCTGTGACATATACAGAAATAACAAGTGGTGGATGTTATATTCTATATAACAAATACTAATTGTTTAAAATACTTTATAAATTACTTAGGGAGATGTAATATTTTAAATGTAAACATAGAGGGAGTGTGATATTTTAAGTAAGAATTTCAGTTTCTTTTTGTGGTACATACAAAATTTACAAGTGATGAATCTTATATTTTAAACACTAAATACTAACAGTTTGAAATGTTGTATGAATTACTTAGGGGGATGTAAAATTTTAGAGATAAACATAGGGGGGATGTGATATTTTAAGTAAGAATTAAAGTTTCTTTTTGTGACATACAGTAAATAAACCGAGGGGATGTAATATTTTAGATACTAAATACTAATCGTTTGAAATATTGTATGAATTGCTTAAGGGGATGTAATGTTTTAAAGGTAAACATAAGGGGGATATGATATTTTAAGTAAGAATTTAAGTTTCTTTTTGTGGTACATACAGAACTTACAAGTGATGGATGTGATATTCTAGGTACCAAATACCAATCGTTTGAATTATTGTATGAGTTATTTAGGGGAATGTAATATTTTAGAAGTATACATTAGGGGGAATGTGATATTTTAAGTAAGAATTTTAGTTTCTTTTTGTGACATATACATAGAATCTACAGGGGGATGTGATATTCTAGGTATCAAATACTAATCAATTGAAATGTTGTATGAATTACTTAGGGAAATGTAATATTTTAAAAGTATACATAGGGGGGATGTGATATTATAAGTAAGAATTTCAGTTTCTTTTTGTGGTACATACAGAACTTACAAGTGATGGATGTGATATTCTAGGTACCAAATTCCAATCGTTTGAAATATTGTATGAATTATTTAGGGGGATGTAATATTTTAGAAGTATACATTAGGGGGGGATGTGATATATTAAGTAAGAATTTCAGTTTTTTTTTGTGACATATACAAAGAATAAACAGGGGGATGTGGTATTCTAGGTATTAAAAACTAATAAATTGAAATATTGTAAAGATTTACTTTGGAGGATGTAATATTTTAAAAGTATACATAAAGGGTATGTGATATTTTAAGTAAGAATTTCAGTTTCTTTTTGTGACATATACAGTGAATAAACCAAGGGGATGTGATATTCTATATACCAAATACTAGTCGTTTGAAATATTGTATGAATTACTTAGGGGGATGTAATATTTTAAAAGTAAACATAGAGGGAATGTGATATTTTAAATACCAAATATTATTTGTTTTAAATATTGTTTGAATTACTTAGGGAGATGTAATATTTTAAAGGTAAACATAGAAGGTATGTAATATTTTATGTAGGAATTTAAGTTTCTTTTTGTGGTACATACAGAACTTACAAGTGATGGATGTGATGTTCTAGGTACCAAATACTAATCGTTTAAAATATTTTGTAAATTACTTACGGGATTTAATATTTTAATGGTAAACATAGAGGGAATGTGATATTTTAAATAAAAACTTCAGTTTCTTTTTGTGAATTATACAGAGTCTCCACAGGGGAAATGTGATATTTTAAACACCAAATATTAATTGTTTGAAATATTGTAAAGAAATACTTAGGAGGATGTAATATTTTGGAAGTATGCATAAGGGGGATGTGATATTTTAAGAAAGAATTTTCAGTTTCTTTATGTGATACATACAGAACTTACACGTGATGGATGTGATATTCTAGGTACCAAATACTAATTGTTAAAAATATTTTATCTTTTTGTGACATATATAGAGAATAAACCGAGGATATGTGATATTCTAGATACCAAATACTAATAGTTTGAAATATTGTATGAAATCCTTAGGGGGATGTAATATTTTAAAGATAAACATGGAGGGGATGTGATATTATAAGAATTTAAGTTTCTTTTTGTGGTACATACAGAACTCACAAATGAAATATTGTAATATTGTAAAGTACTTTGGGAGATGTAATATTTTAGAAGTATACATAGTGAGGATGTGATATTTTAAGAAAGAATTTCAGTTTTTTTTATGTTATTTATACAGAAATTACAAGTGATGGTTGTTATAGTCTAGTTACCAAATACTAATTGTTTGAATTATTTTTTGAATTACTTAGAGGATGTAATATTTTAAACGCCTGATTATGGTGGATGTGTAATTTAAGTAAGAATTTCAGTTTCTTTTTGTGACATATATAGAGAATAAATAGGGGGAATGTGATATTCTAGGTATCAAATACTAATCGTTGATTAGTTTTTGATACCTAATGAAGTATTGTAAAGAATTACTTATTTTAAAAATATACATAGAGGAGGGGGGGGGATGTGATATTTTATGTAAAAGTTTCAGTTTCTTTATGTGATACATACAGAATTTACAAGTGAGGAATCTGATAATTAAAACACAAAATACTAATCGTTTGAAATATTGTTAAGAATTACTTCGGGGAATGTAATATTTTAGACGCCTGCATAGGGTGGATGTGTAATTTAAGTAAGATATGTATCTCAAATATTGTTAGCTGTTTTTTGTTTCTTGGGTTCTCCTCTGATGGGGAGATCTTTATAATAAATTTTTATATTTAATTAAAAAATAAATAAAAAAATTAAAGAGCTTTTAATAAAATCAAGAAACTTTAATATTTATAGTGTTTTATTAGCTTTTTAAAGTTTTAATTTAATATTTTATTTTTTTTAGATACGATTGAGCTAACAATTTAAACATGCGACATTGTTCAACAAAGTCATATATAAAATTTTGGTGGAATTAAAGTTTTCATAAGATTTAAAATGAACGAAATTAATTACAATAATTATATATAATTTATATAATTATATATAATAATTATATATAAAACTTTGGTGGAATTAAAGTTTTCATAAGATTTAAAATGAACGAAATTAATTACAATAATTTTTTATTCTAAATGTTTTCATATCTTACAACATAAATATTTTACTAGTTTTAATGTACAAAACGTTTTGAAGGAAAATAAATAATTACGGTTTGTCTTTTTTCATTCTATTCCATAATTTAAAATTTTTCTCCATTACGTCCACCTATGGTTGCTGAGGCATAAGGTTTCGGTAAGGTTATAACTTCTTCAGATATTTTTTTAAATAATAGAAGCTTCTTTTCTTAATAAAAAAACATTTTTAAAGAACTATTATTAAATATTAACGTTTCTTTAGGTGGTTTGGTATGGAAATATAATGTGATTATTGAGCCTGTTAAGGGGAGTTAGTAATATTTAGTCCAGTTCACAATTATTAAAATTATACAAATTTTTAAAAGTGGCAGTTAAAAAATTAACTTATATTTATTACAATAAAATATAAAATCATGTATTTCATGTATTTGAATCATCCATTATCATACTTAACTAAAATGAGAAAGAATAATGTACTGTAAAAGATGGAAAAAACAAAGTACATAAACGGTTTGTTGTGTATATATATATATATATATATATATATATATATATATATATATATATATATATATATATATATATATATATATATATATATATATATATATATATATATATATATATATATATATATATATATATATATATATATATATATATATATATATATTCCATCAAATGTTAACACAACATTTTTGTAAAAATAAAAATTTCGAAAAAAAATACTATTGGACAAGTATTATTTTTCCACACTAAGAATATTCTGCTTTTGTTAGGTCTTCCTATTTTCTTAATGACACAAATGCTAAAGTGATTGTTCGAAGAAGAATAAAGGATTGTTCGAAGAAGATTTCACTAACAAATAATAATCATCCCTATAATGACAGATTTATAGCGTTGAATTCAACAAGTTTGAAAAAAAGACGAGAGCGCAGTGGCTTAGTTTAAATGATTGAATTAGGTAACAAAATTGACTATATTAATTGTTATAATAAAGATTGATTAAATTTTTATTCAACGAGTCCAGTACCAATGTGTAGCCATAATAAATATAACAATAAAACCTGCACAGAGATTGTCCTTATTTATAATATATATATATATATTTTAAATTTGTTATTTAGGTACCCCAAGAAGTCCTAACGGTCTTGTCACAGAGCATCGCGGAAGTGCATTTAACCAGGAAGTTCGTGCCTCCTTCCTTACCATGACGCGAAATATGTCCAAAGCTCGTTTTGAACCTGGATCTCCTGCTTATAAAGCATACAATCTAACCACTGCGCCACGGACGCACAATATTTGGCATAACTTTTTTGTAAATCAAGAAGCTCGTTTTGATCAGTTTAGAAAATTAAAATGTTTAAATAGAGGTAAGCGCTAGAAAAAGAATAAGCTAAAACAAAGTGAAGTTACATTATATTTTTAAACATATTAGTTGAGGTTGAGAGTTTATGTTCACTTATTTTAGTTTAAAAGACATCTTTGTCAGACACTTGTCTCAGAAACCCTTAGCTATTCAAAGGCGTCTAAATTTTATTACGCATAATACAGGTCTTTAAACGTCTTTAAAAAACGCTGAGAAGAGAAATGTTTTTTTTAAATATTGTTACTCTGTAAAAGTTACTGGTATATCTGTTACTTCAATAAAGTTTTCATTCTATTTATAAAATTTTTTTTTTTTTTTTCCAACCTACTATTTGTTTAACTTTCTACGGGTAATACTAATATGAAAACAATTTTTATTGTTTTTTGATTTATACTCTGGTAAAATATTCGTTTTCTTATTTTAATTTATAGTTAAAACATATATTTTATCATTATTTTATTTTATGGTTTATTTTCAAGAGAAGGCAGAGACACCAACAAAAAGCTTTGAAGTTAATGATAGTGAAGGTATGAATTAAAAACTTACTTATTCATTTGTAATTGTTAGCGTTTTGTTTTATTTATAATTTATTTTCTAGAGGAGGCAGATAATTATAAAAATCTTTGCAGCTAAAGACAGTGAAGGTATATAATAATAAATCACTTTTACATTTTGTTAGCGTTACCTTTTTATTGTAATGTATTGTTTTTTTAGAAGTGACAGATACAAAAAATAGTTTTGTAGTAAAAGATGGTAAAAGTAGTATTTAAAAAGTTACTTTTTCATTTATAAATGTTAGCATTTTATTTTAAAGTATCGCTTGTTTTTTAAAGAAGGCAGAGAAGCCAATAAAAACCATTGTAGTTGAAGATAGTGAATGTATGTATTAAAACTTACCTATTCATATATAATTGATAGCGTTTTATTTTAATTTGTTTTTATTTATTTTAATAGTCTATAGATAGTAAATACAAAAAAAAGCTACATAGTTGATGATACAGAAGGTATGTATTATTCAGTGGCGCACGAATAAAATAAAGATTTTTATGTATACTTATCTAAATAATTAATTTAAACATCCCACCTGGTGAAAAAATATGTGAAGAGTTTTAAAACATGTAATCTTCAATAAATGTAATAGTCGTTATTTTATTAGATAAAAGGCTTATGCTTAAATTTTGATGAAATTATGCTTAAATTGCATTTCATAAATAGGTCACGGAATAATAAAATGTATTCATATTAAAAACCCTGTAAAAGTCTTAGGTAAAAAAGTCTGCAAGGTATACGATTATTCGTTACAAGACACTTTAAACGAATGTCTCAGTGACGAAGTTGTTAATATTTATCTCAAAATATTAGTAAACAGTAAAGAAAAAGTATGATTAATTAATGTACTTCATAATAAAATTTTTGTACAAAAAAACCCTTATTGCATTTTTTTTTTTTAAATTTGCCTTTATTTAAATAAAATTTTAATTCTAAATATAAAACAATATATTGAATGCCATTCCATTTATTGATGCTTTGAAGAATCGAATCGAAGTACTGTAACCAGCTGGGCTACTCTCACTGGATGAATTGCCAATTAAAACTGATTTAATACAAAGACAGCATAAGGTATTCAAAAACTTTTATCTAAAAAAATTAATGATTCATTAATTTAATTATAGAGTATTTATACACACACACAGATATATATATATATATATATATATATATATATATATATATATATATATATATATATATATATATATATATATATATATATATATATATATATATATATATATATATATATATATATTCATAGAAAGAGCTCTTTAAACAAGATATGCTAATATGCTGTCTGGTGGAAAAATTTCATTTGACCCTTGCAGTATGTAAAATAGTATAATTGTTTTTTGAAAAATTTCTCTAAGTACAAAAAGTTTAACTTTTAGTGAAAGGTTAGATTCCCCATTTTTTTACAGGGAACCTAACTTTGAACCTGATTTTGAAAATCACTTGTTTTTTAGATAATCAAACCAGGTAATAAAACAATTCACTCTATGGACCCTATGGGAGAACAGACAAATTCCATCAAAAAAGAAGAAGTGAAATGGAAGTATGATATTATTATTATAAGATATTCCTATGTCAAAATTTGTATTTGCATCTTTTATAATTTTTTTACTATTATACAATAGTTGTTACTTACAACAAAGATATGGTGTTTCAGAAAAGTTTGAAATATTAACATTACCAAATGCCATACAAGCTGAAGGTATAACATTTGGAGTATTCTGCCTTAACTTTAAGAGTCTTAACTGTAATGGATATGTATATATATATATATATATATATATATATATATATATATATATATATATATATATATATATATATATATATATATATATATATATATATATATATATATATATATATATATAAGCTTACATATTTTAGTTTGCTGAAAGTTATACAAATGGAGAAGTATTAATGCTTTCCACATGAAGAAGCATACAGAAAGAGAGATAAAGGAGGTTTGTGAGATTCTTTAGAGAACTGAAAATGTTTATACTACTTCAATGTTAAATGATATCTATAAAAAAGACAAAAAAAAATGATGAAAAATTAAATCAATAGGTCAGAAAAGTTGGCAGAATAGTTTGTGTCGCATTTGTGGAAGTGAAATTGGTCCGAAATCTAGAAAAAATCAAAAAAAAATTAAATGAGTAATAAAATATATTTTAATTATTTTTTAATAAAAATTTCAAATAGAAAAAAATACTTTAAATATTCAAATAGAGAAATGTTCATTAAATATTTATTTTTAGATCAAATGTGATATATGCATTTAAATTGATGGTACCGTATGAGATGCATTGTTTTTAGAAATGAAATACAAATAAATACAAATGTATTAAATATATATATATTAAATAATAAATGAAACTTTGAAAATTGCAGTCATTTCTTTTTCTTCAAAATTTTGTCATAAATTGAACCAATTTAAATTTTTACGCCCTTATAAATAAAAAAAAGGTGAAATTTTTTTTTCCCTTGTTTTAGTGACTTCTTGTATTGTTATAATACTTGTCGGAAGCCATACATATGAATTGATTGAACAATAATACATTTTTAATTTGTTAGCTTCAATTAAATGCAAATAACAGCTAAAATTCTAAAGTAAAATACCAAATCTCCCTAAGTAATTCATAAAATTTTTCAAATAAGTAGTAATTGCTATCTTGAATATCACATCCATCAATTGTAAATTATGTTTGTACCATAAAAAGAACTAAAATTCTTACTTAAAATATCACAACCCCCCCTTTGTATACTTCTAAAATAATAGATCCCCTTAAGTATTTTTCTACAATATTTCAAGCAATTTATATTTGGTACTTAAAATATCCCATCTCCCCTGTGGAGTCTCTGCATATGTCACAAAAAGAAACTGGAATTCTTACTTAAAACATCGCATCCTCTCTATGTTTACCTTTAAAATATTAAATCCCCCTAAGTAAGTTACAAAATATTTTAAAAAATTAGTATTTGGTACCTACAATATTACATTCATCACTTGTAAGTTCTGTATGTACCGCAAAAAGAAACTTAAATTCTTACTAAAAATATTATTTTTGCGTAAGTTAATTCCACGTTGAATAAACGTTTTATTTTGAGAGGCTAAATTACGTTACAATTTCAACGCTTATTCAACGTTTCATTTTACCGCGATTTAGTATACAAAAACAGACACTGATTCAACGTTGAAAGCACGTTGTTTTTGTGACTGTAACGCTTTTTCTACGCTGCGACTGGTTTTCAACGTTAATTCAACGCTTACATGTTTGCTGGAAGTCCATTGACCATGTGATTTCCCACAGTGCATAGTTACAATACGCTTTAATACGGATTTAACTCCATAATAGATAGATAACAAAGATAAACACATGAACTTTATTTAAAATTTATTGAACTAATTTGTTTTGTTTTCAGAAATTTGTCTATATTTACTTAGAATTTCCAATATTAAAAATTGTTTAATGTTAATAGATCGGTGCAAGATCGGAGAATATGTTTACGTCATCATATATATGTTCACGTCATATATATATATATATATATATATATATATATATATATATATATATATATTAGGGCCCTGCGAATTACCTTTTTTGGTATCGAATTGAAGCAGGCCTTGATTTTAAAATTGAGTCAAATCTCGAATCAAATCAGCATTTTGAAGATATATATGTTTTAGCTAGACTTAGATTTTCTCAAAACGCTAATTGGACTCGTGGTTCGATTCAATCTGCAAAGCAAGAACCTCGAATTCGAAGTACGAACATGTATAAGTGCAAAGCAGCTGCAAAAATTGGCATAAGTAGAAACTGGCATAAGTGCGAATGAATTTGAAAAACTCAAACTGGCATAAGTACGAATTAGCATAAGTGCACCAAAAATAATGTATAAATTTTGGCATAAATGCGAACTGGCAAAAGTGCAAAATAGTGACTTAAGTGCGAATCGGCATAAGTGTGAGTAAGTTTTCGGCGCAGATGTACTAGTTCATACATATGCCAATTTATGCTTCGCACAGAGCAACTAAATAAGTGTTAATTTTATAAGTACAAACTGACATAAGTGCAAACTAGCGTAAGTACGAACTGGCGTACGTGCGAACTGGAATAAATGTGAAGCAATAGCAAAAACTAGCCTAAGTGAAAACTGGCATAAGTGCGCCTCAAGAATTAGAAAACGTCGGCATAGAACTCGCCGACGTTTTCTAAATCTTTTGGCATACCGATTCGCACTTATGCTAATCTCTATAATTAATAGCCGAATAAATATTATTATTATTATTAGTGCGCATAGTTGCGCGTATTGTTTTATAGTTACGGTACGGTTCTGTATCTGTAAAATACACTTTTTAAGTAGTTTCTAGAATTTTCTTTACCGCGTGCTTTCTTAAAAATTTCCTTTCAACCTTTCATGGTACGAGTTCAAAATGTCCAAGTTGACATTAAGTAGATAATGTTTAGTAGCTTAAAATTATAGGTAATCTAAAATCTTTTTTAAATTTAAAAGTAATTAATTTATTGTAATCTTTTTTAAATTGTAATTTTAAATTTAAACCTTCGTGTAATAGATTACTTTAATTCTTAGATTGTGTCTAGCGTTAAAATATATTTATGGGTAGTTTCATGCTTTCACATAGTTTTGGTTATTGGGATAAAAGCCATGACAACATTTTGTTATAAATTTATTTTAATTTAATTTTTATTGAAAATTTTGTTATAAATAAAATTTATCTTTAATATTGTTAATACTTTTGCTCTTTAAAAAAAATATGTTTCTGGCTCTTCAATAAATATAAAATAATTTGTCTTGCATGAATGAATTTTGGTTTAGGATTTAATTGTGTTATTTATGTTTGTCTATCAGTAATTTATTTAGGTTATTAGAAAATTCATGTTTACAGAGTTGTTATTAATCGTAAACGAGTTGTTAAACCAAGGAAATTGTGGAGGTTTATTTATCATATATACTATATATATTATATAATTATATTGAAGGGAGTAAGTTTAAAAGCATTTTTAAATTTTTAAAAAGAAATAAAAATACTTTTCAATATATATCTGTTTTCTTTGAGCTAGAATTAAAGTTTCAGTTTTTTAAAATTTAAATTTAAAGTTTCAAGTTTTCAAAATCGTAATCTTTTCAAAATGTCTAAGTAGACATTGAGTATTTATAAATCTTTTTAAAATTTTATAAGTAATTAGTTTATTGTAATCTTTTTTAAATTGTATTTTTAAATTTAAAGCTTCGTGTTATATTATATATGTTCTATATATATATATAACTATGTATATCCTTGGAGTTGCGGCAGCGTAATAGTGTGTTCGGGGAAAAAAATTTATAAACCTGCGTTAATAACCCGTTTTCTATTGTACATAACGCGTTAATAAGTTTTATTAGCCGTTTTGTTCAATGTTTTTTCCCAAGGCATGCCTTATGACGCTGTCTGCGAAGATATGTTGTTTTTTTCTAAATTTTTTTTTCTTTATTAAAAACAGAATAAATTTTAACTTTTTGTATTAAGTTTTTGCTAATATGGTTGCAGGTTTTTCTTAACTTCTATCAAATAAACTTAAGAAACCTGTATTACTTTTGATGATGGCAAATTAATTTTATTTTGCATTAGTTTGGATTCTTTATATATTTGTTTTGAGAATTTTTTTTTTTAATTTTTTGAGTAAGATTTTTTTAGTTATTTGTTAAGTTTTTTTATTTTATTGTTAACTTTAGAGTAGTAAAAAAAAGTAATAATTAGTGTCGCTTTGATAAATATGTTTAATCAAAATGATGACATTGAAATGAATGATAGGCTAGATGAAGTTATGTATTTACAAAATGATGTAAGTGCTATAAGGCGTGTTGAAAATAGTCGTAGACGAAATGAAAGAAATAGACTTAGGCGAGATGAAATTTTCTCGATTAAGCCTATTTCTTTCATTTACAAAATGAAAGAAATAGGCTTAATCGAGAACACGTTAATCGTCGCCAAAACGAAAGAAATAGGCTCGATCGAGATAATGTTAATCGTTGCCAAAATGAAAGAAATAGGCTCGATCGAGATAATGTTAATCGTCGCTAAAATGAAAGAAATAGGCTCGATCGAGATAATGTTAATCGTCGCCAAAATGAAAAAAGAGCTGTTGGACAAGGACGAATGCATTCTATAGCGAGAAGTAATGCTATTCCAGATTATAATTATTTAGGAGAAATGAATCAAATTTGTCAGCACTGTGGTGCTAAGAAATTTCCAGATGAAACACATTTTCTATGTTGCCATAATGGTAAGGTAGCTTTGCCTCCACTTTCATCAATTACACAAGCTTTACAGGATTTGTTTACAGGGAGTTATGTAGATCGTAATGCTAATGCTAATTTTTTAAAACATATTCGAAATTATAATGCCTGCCTTTCTTTTGCTTCTTTTACAGCAAATGTAGTTCAACCAATGAATCATGGGCTTCCATGTTTTAAAATATGTGGCCAGATTTTTCATCGTGTAGGTAATCAATATTAAAGGCAACAATGTAGATAACCGTTGGGTGGTACTTTATAATCCTTGGTTATCAAAGAAATATCAAGCCCACATTAATGTTGAAGCTTGCATGTCTGTAAAGGCTGTTAAATATTTGTACAAATACATATACAAAGGGCATGATTGTGCGAATGTTTTGATAAATGAACAGGTTAATCGCGATAAAATAAACACTTTTTCATATATATCTACTTATCTATATAATACTATAGTACGATTGTTTATATCTCATTCATTTTTTTTCTTCTTTATCTTTAAGTGTTAATAATTTTATTCTTTGAATGAGATTAGTTAAACAAGTCGGCTTTCCATTAAAGATATTGGTTTCAAAATTGAACACCATTGGCAAAATGCTTACAAAAATAGGTAGTTTTTAAAAATCTGTTTTCTATTTAATACACTTTTTTTTAAATATACTTTTTAAATATACTTTTTTAATATACTTTTTTAATATACTAGGTTGGTTGAAAAGTTCGCGGAGCGGAAATGAAAAAACAATTTTATGATTCAAAAAATGACTTTATTCTTCAGTATATTCTCCCTTAAGAGCAATACACTTTTTCCAACGATTCTCCAATTCATGTATCCCATCTCTGAAGTGCGATTCCGGAAGGCCTTCAAAATACCCATTTACGGCTGCAATGACTTCTTCATGTGATGAGAAACGCTTTCCACGTAGAAATTTTTTGAGATGTGGAAAGAGGTGGAAGTCGGACGGAGCCAGATCTGGTGAATAGGGTGGATGTTCCAAGCGTTCGTACTTTAATTCGACCAATTTCGCCTTTGCAACATCGCTGATATGAGCAGGTGCGTTGTCCTGGTGATAAATGATTTTTTTATGCAGCAAA